GTGTCCAGATTTGTATTTTAACCACCCCACAAAGATCCTGTCACCAAAGGTAATGTGTACAGGTTCCTGTGATTACAATCTGCTCAAAATGGGGTCCCTGGAAACCCACTTCTGAGGGTGGAACACGGACATTCTTATTCGTCACAGGAGCGGCCTGCTGACCACTAGACTGCGCTGTATTCAGAATGCCACGCCGGCATTTCCTTCTGCTTCCCCACATCTCCTCAGACTCTTGTAGCAAGTATGGCCTGTCACTTGCTTGTGAATTGAGTCAGACTGGAACATGACTGCCGGCACTCTTCACAATGTGTGTTCATTAAGCAAATGTCAATAGTGGGCTGAGGATCTTTTAGTCCATGAGATTTCCATTTGCCCAAGTGGTGGCTACTAGGGCCAAACTTCTCTGAGAACCATGTCCCCACCTAAGGGGATGGCCCCCTAGGTGACACTCGAACTTTGTGACTGGAGGGAATTGGATGGGAGTGGGCCCCTAAGAGGGGCCACTCAGATTATCTCTTGGGACTTGGCACCTGGACCTGGACCCTGTCTGCTTCATTTCTGGCATCAAAATAAGTTGTTGATGTGGCCCTTAGATGCCATGTTTTGCACAAAAGTAGCTAGAGACAGAGCCAAATGACTATGAGGATTGAGACTGAAGTACACCTGCCTGGGTCCTGAGAGCCTATTTGGAGATTCTGGCAGTGTGGCTTCTATCAGGCAGTGTCGTTCTCTTCCTCCCACTACACAGCTTTGGGAGGGACACACGTGGAGTGTTGGGAGCCGCGGCCGAGCCCGGTCGCCTTACTTGGCGGACGTGAGGCCTGTAGGAAAGAGCAAAGCCTGAGCTAGATTACCCCTCCCATCGAGTGTGCTAAGATGGCGCTTATCTTCCTGCTTGGTAAACAACCCGCCCTGTAAGATCTCCTGCTTCCTGCTTGGTAAACAACCCGCCCTGTAAGATCTCCTGCTTCACAACCCGCCCTGTAAGATAGTCTGCCTAGCAACAACTGATGTTAGCCAATCAGCCCGCATCGTGCGCTTTGAACTGATTGGCCACTGTAACCCTATAAAAGTGAGTGCCTCTCCCGCCAAAAAAAGAAGCAGAAGAAGCAGAAGAAGCACGCAAGGAGCCGCGGAGAGCGGACCGGTAGAGGCTTCGGGACAGACTGTAGGGAGAAGCACGCAAGGAGCCGCGGGGAGCGGACCAACAGAGGCTTCGGCCGGGAGGATTCCCGGGGCAGGCTGTACGGAGAAGGAAAATAAAAGAAAAGGTTGTCCACTGCCAGACTTTGTTGTGTGTCCTTCCTGCCGGCCGGGAGTGACACCGACAGTGGAGCAGTGAGAGAGGGACACTCTGCCTAGCCAGCCAGATCGGCTGCCTCAACTCTGGTTACAGTGCAGTGACAGGTGTTACAGCAGGACAGCCCTCGCATCCTGCCTTGGTACGTTGTGGTGCTAGGAGTAGAACTGAGAACCTCACACGTGCTAGTGCCCTCACTGAGTCACCTCCCTTGGGTTTTTTTTGTTGTTGTTGTTGGTTATTAGAATGTATTTTCCATACATAATGATCACATTCATCTTAGGGAACTTGTGTCTATCTTCTTTTTTTCCATTCCCTTCAACCCTTCTTCCTCTATTTATAAAAGTTTCCATTTCTCCCCTTCAACCTGCCCCACTGTGTTCCCCTTCCCATTTGGACATGTTCTTCCGCCTTCCTGATACCTGTCCTCCGTGTTGCTCCTCACGTTTCCTTTGGATTTCTCACAAATGAGCAACAGTAGTTAAAACTTGTGTGTCTGATTTATTTCACTTAAAATTATGGTCTTGAAGTACATTGTTTTACCTAAAAATAACTCATTTATCATTCTGATGGTAGAGTGCTCCATTGTAAATAAACCCCACATTTTTATCTATTTGTCTGTTGATGGGCATATGGGCTATTTCCAAGATTTAGCTATTATAAACTATGCTGCTATAAACAAGTGTGGCATATATGCTGCTCTTTAACTTTTTTTTTTTTTTTTAATATCAGTACCGGGGATTGAACTCACAACCGCCTGCTTGCAAAGCAGGCACTTAGGCCACCAAGCTAAGTCCCCAGCCTTGCTCTTTAATTCTTGTCAGAAGATACCTAGAAGTGGCACAGCTGGGTCAAATGGGAAATGTCTTGTTTTAGTTTTTGAGGAATCTCCACACTGATTTCCACAGTGGTCGCACCACTCCCAACAGTGGAGAAGGGCTCCTCTTCCCCTCAGCCTCTCCAGCATTTGTTATTGCTTGCTTTCTTGATAACAGCCATTCTTTCTGGGGTGTAGGGGAATCGCAGTATTGAAATTTGCGTTTCTCAAAAGAGCGGTGATGTGGAACATTTTTTCATGTATTTATTTGCTGCTTGACCTTTTTTTTTTTTTTTTTAAGACAGGGTTTTGCTATGCAGTTTGGGATGACTTGAACTCACTTTGTTCAAGGCTGACCTGGGACTCAGCAATCCTCCTGCCTCAGCCTCACAAGTTGCCAGGATTAAGGCATGCACCACCATGCCTGGCCATACTTTTTCATCTGAGAAGTGTCAGATTTTTCCTATTCTGTGGGTTGTTTTCACACAGTAATTTCTTTTGCTGTGTACCCACTTTTTTATTTGTTGTTGTTGTTTAATTTTTAACCTCTGAGATAAGAGTCTTAATGTGTAGTTCAGGCCAGCCTTGAATTCTTAGTAGTCTTCCTGCTTCAGCCTCTCAAGTGCTGGTATTACAACTGTGGGTCATCATGTCTGGACCCCTCCTTGGTTATAAATGGCTTCCCTGGTTAGAGACACAAATGAAGCACAACTACATTTCACCTCTAGGTTGAGAGAACTGTCCTCCCTGTCTCCTCCTTGTCCTGGCTGTAAAAGTAAATTTCTCCTTTTGCTTAGGGCGCCTGAGTGGGTATTTGCTATATAATGAAAATCGGGTAATTTTTCAAAAGTCTCTATAACCTCAAAAAGTTGCCCATGATGATTTATTACTTTCTTTCTTTTTTTTGTATTTTTACCAGTACCCGGGATCGAACTCATGACCACAGGCTTGCAAGACAAGCGCTTATGCCACTGAGCTAAATTACCAGCCCCATCTTTCTTTTTTTTGGTGATTATTACTTTCTAAAATTCTCCTGCATATCCCAATAATTAGAGAGTGAGTGCAATTTTATGATAGCTGTTTTCACTTTGTAAGACAACATAGAAAACAGTTTGGCAATATCTAATTCAACCTCTTCACTTTTTTTTTGGTACTGGGGACTGAACTCAGGACTTCACATTTGCCAGACAGGCACTATGCTGCTGAGCTATATCCCTGGCCCTTTTTTTTTTTTTGGTACCAGGGATAGAGCTCAGGACCATGTACATACCAGGCAGGTGGTTTTCCACTGAGCTAAATCTCCGGACTCCCTTTTTTTTTTTGAGACAGGGTTGTACTATATAGTTCAGAATCATGGCAATCCTCCTGCCTTAGCCTCCCAACTGCTAAGATGATAGGTGTGAGATATCATGCCTGGCTGTTTACCCCTTAATACTAGGTAAAAAGAGTCTGTTGCATCTCTCAGATCAGCCTTGATCTCTGAAGAGTTAAGCCAATTATAACTTGGCTTCCATCACTTGTAACAAGAATTTTGACTAAAACTTAGCTTATTAAAAAGAGCTCTCCACAAAGAAGGAGAATAGGCAATGTTCTCTTTTTAAAACCTGGAATTTAAGTGTAGGAACTATCAGCAAAAGCTAGAAGAACATTCAGAAAAGACAGCAATCAATGCTGGGTGTTGTGGTATATTCCTATAATCCCAGCACTCGGGAGGCTGAGGCAGGAGAATCACTGAGAGTTCGAGACCAGCCTGGGCTACAAAGTGAGCTTAAGGCCAGCCTGAACTGCATAGTGAGACCCTGTCTCAAACACACACACACACACACACACACACACACACACACACACACACACAAATACACATACAAAAAAAGACAAGACAGTAATCCAGGCCATCCTGAAATGAAATGCTCTTGCCCTACTATCTTGGCCTCTATTCTCTTTTCTACCTTGGATCTTGTGCTTCATCACAAACTTTGCATGTATATGTGTGTGTGTATATATGTATGTATATATTTATAATTATGATTTGTACTGAGATCAAACTCAGGACCTTGCACTTGCCAGGCAGACACCTGTGTCACTGAGCTACATCCCTGGCCCCACTCTACTTATTTACAGCTTCAGTTTATCCTGGCTTGACCAGCATTGTGGCCTGAATTGCTACATAGTATTCTAAAGTGACTTGACCCTGAAATCCTTTTCTTATAGACCCAGAAGTAGGTGACTGTGAGCACAGCCTCTGGGCATTACCAAGAACAAGATTTCCTCGTACAACCTGCTTAGGCTCCTCATGACATTGTAGGTCCAGGGCAACTGCTGTAACGAACATAGTAACCACATTTGGGTCAGGATGTGGTATCCCCAGGTAGGAGGCCTAACAACACAATCAGGGTCCTTTCCAGGCAAGAAATTATGCCTGAAGTTACTTTACAGCTCTGGGTGGTTTTTTTTTTTTTTTTTTTTTTTTTTGTCTTTTTCCTTTTTACCGGTACCAGGGATCGAACTCACGGCTGCCTGATTGCAAGGCAGGCGCTTATGCTGCTGAGCTAAATCCCCAGTCCCTAGCTCTGGGTTTTGATTCCTGTGACAATAAAATGGGGGAAGTTGTGTGTTTCACTGACTTGCAATAAGAAATGAATTAGGAAACAGTGAGAGATGGGAAAAAAAAAAAAAGAAATGAAATATATGTAAACTGGCTGGTATGCAGTCGATACTCAATACATACTAGTTGTCTTTTTCCAGATTTTAATGTTGTTAACTACAAAAAGTATAATCCAATATTCATCTTCTGTTCAAATGACTTAAAATGCACACAATGAAATGGGATGATTCAACAGAGACAGTTTAAATGAGGCAGATTTTTAAAGAACTGAAAATAAATTTTATCACAGTTCTTCAAATGTTTTTATTGGGTTTAAAATTCATTTAAGGGATACACAGATACACAACTCGTTTGGTCAGCTACTAATATGTTTAGCTGCCCCTTGAGTTTTGTACCCACGAGCCAGTTCACCTTGTCTCCATGCTCAATGCTCACCTTTGGCGACATCTTGCCGTGCTGTTCCCCATCGTCTACTGCTGCGGTGGTGTGGCTCCCTGCCTGCTTAGGGTTAGCTGCCCTCCTGGTTTTCTTCCTGTGGGTCTGTTTTGCAGGACTCTTCTGTTTTTTTTCAATTCCACAGCTCACATCCCACAGCATTATCTTTGCATCATTCCCTCCAGTGAGCAGCAAATACGACTCTGGCAGAAAGCAGACCTGGGACACCCCCAGAGTGTGGCCCTTAAATCCCAGTGCTTGTTCACATTTGACTCCTGTCACCCTGAAGATTCGCACCTTACCATCCTCTGCACCACAACTAAAAATGTTGCCACATGATGCCACAGAGACAGAGTGGGCAAGGGCAGGGTTGAAGAGCTGGCTGGGGGACTGAGGGCCTTCCATTTCTTCTGTCTCATCCTCCTGCAGATGTGTGATCCAGAGAGGTCGGGCTTTCTGCAGACTCCACAATATCACCTTGAAATGAGATGAGGTCACAGTCACACAGAGTTCTAGCCTCTTGCACAACTATAGTGCCTACCCAGTTTCTAGTAAAATCATCAAAGTAGTCTGAAAATGATTGGCAGGATATATCCCTAGCAGTATTTATTTATTTATCTTTTTGGCACAGGGTCTCTATGCAGTTTAGGCTGGCCTTGAGCTCACTTTGTAGCCTAGGCTGGTCTTGAATTCACAACGATCCTCCTGCCTCAGCCTCCTGAGTGCTGGGATTACAGGCGTGAGCCACCATGCCCGGCAAGTATTTATTTTAAAAAAAGAAAACAAAAGAAAACAAAACAAAACAACAAAATACCCCAAAGTCAGGCATGTTGTGATATACCTATCAATCCAGTGCTTAGAAGGCTGAAGCAAAAGTTTAAAGCCAGCTTGGGCTACACAGTCAGCTCAAGGGCAGTCTAAACTACACAGTGAATCATCATATGTATCAAAAAACCCACCACCACCCCCCCAAATTAAAACTACATAGTGACATCTATGTGAGCAAGCAAAACAAAACAAAACCACTCAAACCAAAACAACGAACAGAAATCAAAGGCCGGAGGGGGGAAACAGATGCTACCACACATGCCAGCAGAATGCTACCTAAAGCTAGGCTAAAACCAGAATGTAGACAGGAGTACAACAGACAACACAAGATCCTGAAACAGATCCTAAACCTTTTAGAGATTGAACACCCAAACTGCAATCCAAACCCACTTTTTTTTTGTACTGGGGATCGAACTCCTGACCTCACGCTTGCCAGACAGGTGCTTATGCCGCTGAGCTAAGTCCCCAGCCCCTCAAACCCACTTACTTACCACAAAGTGCCAATGTTGCAGTTAATCCTGACTGGCTGCTGGGGTGATACTGGGGTGACGTGTGCTGACAGACAGGCCTTTGTGTGTTCCATGTCTGTGTGCCATTTGGTTCACCACCATCACATATGATGGACAGTTACAGTTTTTTTGAGTAAGGGATCTTGCTATGCAGTTCATGCTCGCCATGAGCTCACTTTGTAGCCCAGACTCATCCTGAACCTATACTGATCCTCCTGCCTCAGCCTCCCAAATGCTGGGATTACAGGTTTGTGCCACCACATCCAGCCTAATGTGTAATTGGTAAGCAGCTGCCACTTTCTCTTAAGTGTTTCTTTCTAGTGAAACTGGAGGTTATAGCAAATGTCCTGGCATGTACTTTTAGTTCCAGCTACTTGGGAGGCTGAGGGAAGAGGGCTGTTTGAACCAGAGAGCTTAAGTCAGAGTCTGGATGACACACCACCACCTGGTCTCTTAAGACTAAAGGTTTATGAAATTGTTCGTTTTAGTCTATGCTAGTTATAAGTAAAAGGTCTTAACTAAGTAAAGTAAACCTGGGATATCACTGAAATTATTTGGAATCCTTTATCTCCCTCCCACCTACCCCCTCCTCTCCTTTCTGTTTTACTCCAATTTACCCACCCTAGGGGCTTCAGCTGTCAGTCCCTCCAAGGAGGCTCTCCTAGCCATCCCAGACTACTTGTTCATCTTGTATCTAGTTCCTAATGTGAACTGACACATGTCACTGGCTTTTCTGCTTTGTGAGATTAATTTACTTTTGCTAATGCCTAGCATAACCCTGAAAGAACAGAAGTCCCAAATGTGTCTGGGGATTAATGTGAAACCTCAGTGTTAACACTGGCTTTTATGTGATTGTTCCCTACCATGAGCTTGGACCTATTTGACTGAATTAAATGATATGGTAGTTAAAACATTTAAAACAAAAAACAAAAAAAAAGTTTTGTGAATGGACACTATGCTATAACACATCTTAATCCATCCAGAGAACAGATGGCTTTATCATCCAGTATCATGGCTGAATTAACAACTCAGTTTTAATGGCTACTAGCATAAGCATGCCCTTTAGTCAAAAGGTTATCACTAAGGCTGCTGACAATATAGAAAACTCATACTCCGTTTACTACACTGCCAGGCACTACTCATTCCTTCTCCTCTGACTCCTAGAATACCAGGACCCTATTTTCTGTCCTCCTAAGACAGTCAAACACAAACTGAACCAGTGTTTTCAGCCCCTCAAACATTGTTATGTGTTTTAAGTCCTCTAAATGTGTTAATCTGGGCAACCCACTCGGGACCCCTCCTCTCTTTCAGAAGCTAGTCCTATTCCCCAATAATTTTCCTACTTTTAATCCTCATTGTTCTTCTCTTTAGATTCATTCTGTGACTTTGGGGAACATGAACTCAGCGTATCTGACATGCAGCAGGTTAGGAGTTACGTATTTTCCCCATATCATTTTGAATGTTCCACCATGATACTTGGAAGGTAAGAGTTTGCTTCTGTCTCATGGACTCCGGATTGTGACTCATTTAGGTGATCGGAAGTTGTCATTCTTGTTTGTCAGTTGCTTATTTCTTAGCCTTTTATGCTTGTCTTTTTTTTTTTTTTTTTTTTTTTTTTTTTTGAGACAGGGTCTCAATATGTAGTTTGTGAGGAGCAACTAAAACTGGAGATGGATCACCATGTGTGGGACTAAATCAAGGCCAGCCCTGAGAACACAGCCCAAAACAAGCCACATAAACAAGCTGTTTAAGCTCCAAAAAGGTAAGGGACCAGGCCAACCAGGCAAACAAGTTGCTAGGCAGAGGGGTTGAAACTGACATCATCCTCTTGAGTGTAGAAATAAAGGTGCTATGGTGGTTATGCAGCAGTTTGTCTCCCATCAGGAGAGAGGGCTTCACTTGACTCAGATTCTGACTCCTTTCTTCATTTTCTCATCTTTTCACTGTCCTTTCCCTTGGGAACTCAACAGCTGCGCTGATACACAGCTGTAGTTCACGTTGTTCTTGAATTCACTTGTGTAGCCAGGTTGGCCTTGAACTAAAGGCAATCCTTTTGCCTCACCCCCAAGTGCTAGGATTAGAAGTGTATACCACCATACCTAGCCATTTATGCTTGTCTTTAATTTTTTTGGTGCCAGGGATAGAACTCATTACCTCGTGCTTGCCAGGCAGGTGCTTATGCCACTGAGTAAATCCCCAGCCTCAGTCTTAATACCTTCTTTTTGTCAAATGATGGTAAATTGGAGAACATGGGAAGAAAAAAAAATTTTTTTTTTGTACCAAGAATTGAACCCAGGACCTCATGTTTGCCAGACAGGCACGTACACTGCTATATCCCCAGCCTGATTATGATGTTTCTTTCATGTCTGCAGGAGGGACCTGTATTCTTGTTTTGAGTGTGGACTTAAGTAGCTGCTGAATTTACTGGTGTTCCTACCTTGACCAGTTTGACTTGTTTGGATGTTGTGATTATTGTCTCATCTCAGACAGTGCTAGGGAAGAGTTATGTTAGAACATTCCCTAGTGGAATTTGATACTAACCAAAATGTGAATTTGTAAAATGCTGTAAAATTTTTTTTAAATAAAATCTAGTTCATGAAATATAAATGCTTCTTACAAATTCAGGACCTTGGGCTGGGGATTTAGCTCAGCAGCATAAATGCCTGGCAAGCACAAGGTTGTGAGATCATGAGTGAGTGAGTTCGATCCTCCATACCATCAAAAATGAATAAATTTAGGACCCCTCCATTCTCACAAAAGTTGAGGAAAAAAAATTTTAGGACCCCCTCAGCTGGTTATTTGCAACGGTGCAATTGCTTATCTTAAATCTAGGACAGGATTCACTGATACATTCTGGTTTGATCCCCCTCCATGCTCACAGAAGGGAATATCAAGCATATTCTGCCTCAGTTTCCTTTTTGGTCTTTCTGCTGCTGAGCAGGCAATCTTAGCTCTTATGATAACAAATGTATCAGTGACTTCTTTGCTCTAGGGTCCAGGGTTTTGCCAAGTCACTACTTGCCTCTTTATCTAGAAGTGTCCTCTTTTGCATACAGGAAAGTGCTGCAACCACTTCCAATCTTTTTGCCTCACTTTTCAAAGAACTGGAAGGCAGCTATTCAGTCTCTTCATCATTGGTTTAATTTTGCTAGCAATGCTTCCTTCTTTAACATGGCTGTTAGAGTGGGAACCAGCTGTGGCTTGTGCTTTTGGAAATACACTTTGGAGTTAGGAATTTGAGTTTCTAGAGAAGGTAGAGGCATGCATCGGGAAGAGTAGATAGTCCAGCCTGACCTAGCTTCTGGTCACTCTTCAGATAGCAGTCCCCTACCCTGGAGCAGGGGATACCTTGAGGGCACAAAAAACCATGCAGGAATTAAAAGGAATGCCTATTTTTTCCCTTTTTTTCGGGGGGGGGGGAACTCAATGTCAAATTCTCTTATTTCTTTGGAATGTGAAAAGTATGAAAATTTATTCAACACTCATGTATTGAGACATAAAAATTTAACATTTTTCTACACCTGTACATGGCCTGTCTACACGCTACAGATGAAATAGAATGCAGAGGGAAGTATTGATTGTGATACTAACTTGTACACAAAACTATAAGAGAGAGAGAAAATGGCCAGAAATATCTTATGTTCCAACTTTCGTTGCATTAAGACAGTCCTCATGTTTTTGGACAAGTGCTCTCCTTGACTTGGCCTTTTAAAAATTTTCCCCAAGTCACAGTCCTGCAATATGCACATGATATACTATTCACTAGTGATTTTCTTTTCAATAAACAGATGCCTCACCTCCCTAGCTAACATCCAACAGATTCTTCAACAGCTAACAGAAACAAGAAATATGCTGAGGTTCTGAACAAGGGAAGCCTCTAGCTAAACATGATCCAAGGCTCACAGGCTCGTGAGGAAGGGTGCCTGGGTGCATGGTGACAGTGGCTAGGCTAGCTCTGGTCCCTTCTGCATACCTCCAGTTGGCCGCCGCTGATGCTAGACAGGGTTAAGTCTAGGGGAAACCTTAGATTGGGTACAGAGCGAAAGGTTTAGACAGGGATGCCTTCTTCCTCCTTCTTTTCAAAATGGGTAAAAAAAAAAACTGTCATAGGTAGATATCTTCAGCAGGGTAGACTGGAGCCTTGGCAGGTCTTCTACTCCATTGTGTAGAATATATATTTAACTCTTTCAACACCCAAATCTGACTGTACACCCTCCTCCTGGAAATAGCTAAAATTATTATTTTTTTAAGTTTGCCCCTTTAGAGGGAATAATTACATGTGGTTATCAAAACAGCAGTTTGGGCTATGAAAACAACAATGAGAAGCCTGTATAACTGGGTATTCCAATCAGAGAAAACCAGCCTAGGGCCTGTCTTAAAAACTGCTTTTGTTTTCACAGGTATAAATAAAATGCTTTGATTTCTTATGATTCTTATTACTAGAGATCTCTGTTAGTTGACCTACAAAGTCTATTTATAATACAACCTAAAAACTGTAAAAGGGTCATTGTAATCTGACTTGGCCAAATAAATCTGAGTGCGCTCTGCTTTACAAACAACTGTTTAAGTATGCTTGTCCATTTGCCTGTTGAATCTGTAACCGGTTACAATACCTATAGCTGTTTTGTTTGAGCTTGACAATATTTTTTTTTTTTTTGTACTTTGAGATTTCCATGGAAAACAGTTAACACAGGTTAAAATCTTTGTATCCACAACTTAAGTTGGCTTACAGATAAAGTGTCATTAAAGTTAAGGACATGCTTTCACCCAGGTTGCCAGTCAATCCAAATGATGTTGAGATTGGTTTTACAAATGCAGTGCCTATTGTCTACAATAACTGGGAGTTTTTCACTGATCAAAAATAATGGGCTGTTGGGGTAATCAGCATGGGCCAGGAGAAAAATCAGCCCAGTTTGTGTGCATGCTAGGTGCCACTTGGACTCTCCCCAGGGGTAACCAGTACAGGTGGGAAGAAGCGACCAGCCCCAACTCTACAAGCAGGTCACCACTACCTTCAGGGACCTGTAGCCAATGTGGGCCAGCTACACCTTGAAGAAGCATTGAGTGTCTGGAGAAGCCTGCCCTACACCCTACCACCTCCCTGGAAACTTGTATTAGGAGAAAACTAGGTAACTGATCCATCCCCCTCCACCGTGGATGGTGTGCTCGGAACCCCACAACCCACTTGTCTGGAGGAACCCAGGAAGATGTCAAGATGAAGGAACAAAAGGCTGTTTGGGCCTATAGCTATAGGCCCAAACAGCACAAGTCCAGGAGACACGGACATGCACACCTGGAATTTCTGATGATGGCAATTGAAATAAAGGAACTACTTCATAAGGCTGTAAAAGAAATCAGATCAGCAGTAATATCTCAGGTAAAGAAGAAATGATTAACATAATAAAATGGCTGAGCATATCCAAAGAAGACACAGATTAAAAAAAAAAAAAAAGCAGCATAGGAGAATAAGGGAAACCTTGAATGAACAATATACAGAAGAAATGGAATTCATGAAACAGACTCAAAGATATACAAGAAATTAAAAACTCTACTGAAAGCTGGCAAAACCATCGGAAAGAAACTGAAGATGGACTTTCAAAGCTTAAAGACAGGATGGCAGCTAGTGACTATAAAAGGACGCATCTCTTAAAAATAACAAGGAACCAGGAAATAATTCAATGGTTGCAAGATGATGCAAAGGAAAATAATTTAAGAGTGACAGGCCAGCAAAAAAGCAAGTTAACACAAATGACATGCTGGGGATTTAGCTCAGCAGCATAAGCGCCTGCCTTGCAAGCGTACAGCTGTGAGTTCGATCTCTGGTACTGTGGGAAAAAAAAAAAAGACTCCAACACAAATGGCATAAAGAGACTATTTACAGAAGTGATAGCAGAGAACTTCCCAAGCATATGTGAAGGACCTGACATACAGACAAGTGAGGCATATTGAACTCCAACTAGCCATAAACAAAATAAATCTATACTCAGACATGTGATACTCAACATCCCAGAAATTCAGCACGAGAACAGAATGTTAAAGACTATTAGAGAAAATAAACAGATCACCTATAAAGAAAAACCTATTGGAATCACAACAGATTTTCTTACCCAAATCATCTACTCAAGAATAGCTTGGAGTGAAGTATTTCAAGTCCTGAAAGAAAACAACTTTCGGGGCTGGGGATTTAGCTCAGTGGCATAAGCGCCTGCCTTGCAAGCAGGCAGTTGTGTGTTCGATCCCCGGTACCAGTAAAAACGAAAAAGACAAAAAAAAAAAATAATAATAATAATAAAAATAAAATAAAATAAAATAAAAAAAAGAAAACAACTTCCAACCCAAATTGATGTACCTTGCAAAACTATCTTTCAAAATTAATGGAGAAGTTGGATACTTCTATGACAAAGAACAACTAAAGGAATACATCACCACCAAACGAACCCTACAAAGACTACTTAAGAACATTCTAGAGAGAGAGAGAAAAATGACTATTGTTCCAGGAACAGTAGCAGAGTGGGATCATTGAACCTGGCAAACAACTGAATTGAGGGGAAAAACAGGGAGCTAACAGCAAGAAAAAGGCATGGAAAAGACAATCAGTGCATGCTGGCCATAACCATTAATGTACATGGCTTCAATTCACTAGTAAAGAGACACAGGCAGAGTGGATCAAGAAACAAGATCCAGGACTTCCAGGAAAATGGTGGAACAGTGAGCCACAGAGAAAGAACCTTTACAAGTTTTGGTGTCTAGACCCTGGAATAAAGCAACATGATGATGAGGAGGAGAAAGGTGGGTCCCATGGACACAGAAAGGATCTGAACTGAGACTTGAAGTCCATGGAGAGTTAATTCAGGAATTCAGCAAAAAACAAACAAAACAAAACAGGGACAGTGGACCTGCGGGACAGAACAGCAGCAAAGAAATGTGGCCCCGACCCCCAAGCACTGATGGAAGTCTTGCCAGTCCCAGGGGAGAAGCAGCAAAGAAAGAATGTGGCCCGCATTCCTGTGCCCTGGCCAAGGTCCTGCCGGCCCCTGGGGGAGAAGAGGCAAAGAAGCAGTGTGTCCCGGATTCCTGGTATGCTGGAAGAGGCCCTAACAGCCAGAGAGCAGCAGCACGGAAGCCATGCAGCCTCCCTGTGTGCTGGTGTGAGCCCTGCTGGCTGAGGAGAAACAGCAAAGAAGCCGCCTCTACTTCCCACCCCCTCCCCCAATCTGTAAGCAACTAGGAGCAACATAGGCTGAGATGATAATAACTGAAGTAACTGAAATAGGGAAGTAACCTGACATTTATGTTGTTTGATTGACTTTGCAAGCCTGGGGTTGGATCTGGGGAACTATTTAGAAGACACAATATGTAATGCAGTAACAATTGTGTATTTCCTACTGTCCTATTACTGTTTTGTTTCATTTTACTGTTGTTTTACTCTCTTTAAAATAATAATAAAAATCCATCAATATGCTATATAAAAGACATTAACTCAAAAGAAAATTCATAGACTGACAGTCAAGGAAAGAAACAATGCTCCACACAATAGAGAACCAGAAAAAAGCAGGGGTAGCTTGCCCATCAACTGCAGAATGAGTAAGATACGGATTTTTACACAATGGAAAACTATAGAGAAGGATAATCACGAGGCTCTTGTAGGTAAATGGATGCAATTTGTGATCATGCTCTTGGGTGAAATGGTTTGGACTCACATGGGTGAACATCATGTCTCTCTAGTATAAGAAATTGAAATAGGGGCTGGGGGTTTAGCTCAGCGGCATAAGCACCTGCTTTGCAACTGCATGGTTGTGAGTTAGATCCCTGGTACCAATTTAAAAAAAAAAAAAACTGAAGTAGTGGGATCCAAAATGTATAGCAGATATTGTGAAAACGCAAAGGGAGGAAATGTCTAAAAAGGAAAGGTGATAGCCATCGTTAATTTCCTTTTTTTGGGGGGGGGTACAGGGGAATCAAACTCACGACTGTATTACTTGCCAGGCAGGCGCTTATGCCACTGAGCTGAATCCCCAGCCCCACCATCATTAATTTCATATCAACTTGTTTTAAAGCCCTGTATCACTTTCATTGGTTTTACTCTGCTTTGTTTGGTTTGATTTTATTATATTTGATTGCATGGGCAGCTATTTTGAAGATAACAAGAGGCATTATGGTAGCCATTGTTGATTTCCTATTATTCTGTTTGAAGTTCTGTATTATTTTCACTGTTTTGTTTTGATTGGCTTCATTCTGTTTTATTTTGTTTGGTTTTATTCTCTTAAAAAATGTAACAAGATCTAAAAATTATGAAAAATAATATGCTGTTATCATCTAGTTCTCTTAAGGTCATGCAAAAAATTTGTTAAAATAGCTACATGGGACTGCTTAGGCTTAAGGAAACTGCTAGACAAGACTCCTTGGTAAATAAAGGAGAATCTGCCTGAAAATATTTTATCCCAGTCTTTATCCACTAATGGGACCCCCAATAATTTCCATAGTCTTATGGGAGACACACTTCAATGAACACTGATTTTTTTCTTTTTTTGGACTTTTTGAGACAGGGACTCACTATGCAGTTCAGGTTGGCCCTGACCTCACTTTGTGCCCAGGCTGGTCTCAAACTTGCAACAATCCTCCTGCCTCAAATTCCCAAGGGCTGGGATTACAGGCATGTGTTGCCATGCCCAGCTGCTAAATATGTTACTGTAATATGTTTACATTAGCTCCCATTAAAGGGTTAAGTTGCCTTTGAGTAAAACAAAGATTTTCTTATAGATGTTTCTGGTACAAAAGTAAATTAAGAGAAAGGTTTCCACATAGCTGTGACGTTCATTATTGCTGATTTATTGGTGTACTAAATATATTCCTACCTTCTGGGTGTGCAGGTTTTCAAAGACATAAAACTAGGGTTGCTTATGTGACACTTTTTTTTGTACTGGGAATTAACTTGGGACCTTGTGCCTTTTTTCTTTTAGATGTAAGTATCTGCCTTTCTCTTGTGCTTCTGCTTCTTGTGATAAGAGGCATATGTCAAACCAGCATGAGATCAACAGTCAAATGGTAGTTTTTTTTTTAAAAAAGAGCTTATGTGATGTGAATGTTATGTATATCACCACACCTGCAGATACTCAGGTATTGAGCAGTCCAGACAATGTCACATGCTTCTTTGATAACATCCTATTACAGGGTCACAGGCTGGGCATGGTGGTGCACGTCTTAATCTCAGCATTTAGGAAGGTTGAGGCAGGAGAACTGCTATGAGTTCAAAGCTGACCTGGGCTACACAGTGAGTTCAAATCCAGCCTAGAATATATAGGGAGACCTTTTCTCAAAACAACAACAAAAGGATAACACATTAGAGATTCAACTTCTAAAGCAACTATAACTGAGGCTGCTAAACCCTAAACCAGCATAACAACAAATCTATCAGACTCCTTCTACTGGGATCCACTAGATCGACCTTGTGAAGGGAGTTTGTAACTGCTGACTACAACATGACCCCAGGGCTCCTTAGATTAGCTCTCTGGAGAAGGCCTTTGACTGAAGTCTCCCCAACACTGATCCTTCTCAGCTCAAAGCAGCCAGACAGAAACGACGACCCTTCACCACCAACCATCGTTAAGGATACCTCTTCAGAGGGGGAACATCATAGACAGCTAAGTTAGGTAAAATATTACAGGCAGCCAGATAGTGCTAGGCCCTTGAGGGAGTCAATGAAGAAGATGAGAACACATCAAATTATCGCTGGAAGTGATCTGAATAAGATTAAAGACACAATGCAGATTTACTTACTTTTGTAAGGATAAAAGTTTAAGATTATTGGTATCATGCATTTGAGATTTCCTGTATAAATAAACTATGCCCTCATTAGGGGTGAGCCATTCTCTTCCACCCACAAGACTAAGACTACAACACTAATGACAAGACTTGGTCATTATCGAACAAGGTTAATGATATCATCCATATGCCTTATCTACTACTGAATCAATATCAGCCAAGTGGCTATACTTGTAATCTTATTGGTTGGTTATGGCTTTCACCCATGTTGTATCTACCTCATGATTTTTCCTCTATAAAACTTTCTCTGAGCAATGGGCTCATTGGTAACTCATTCAGGACCCATCCTATCTCTCAGGAGCTATTCCTATTGCAAAATAAATTTTCCTAATTAAAAAAAAGAATGTGTTAAGTCATCCCAGATTCTACTAATTCTACCTATTCCCAAGTACTGAGGATTCTAAATTATTCCTACATTCCCTTTTTTTCTCTGGGTGTTGGGGATCAAACCCTAGGCTAGGCACATGCTAGGCAAATCATCTGCCAGTGAGCATCACCACAGCCCACACTTATTTTCTGAAACCATCATCAAAGACTCCATGGTGTTTCATACTTGATTTCTCAAGCAATTGCTCAAACAATTAATATGCTGAGCAGAAGAACTAGAGACACTGAAGGGAAAGAAAGCTGATAGCTAGCAGAATGTTCAAAAGTGACTGCAAATATATCAAAATGACTTCTAAAAAATTACACCCTTCCAAGCCAGGCTTACTGGTGCATGCCTATAATGCCAGCACTTGGGAGACTGGCAGGAGGACTGCTATGAGAGGCCAGCCTGGAATACACAGTGAGGTTCAAAGTTAGCCTGAATTACATAGTGAGACCCTGTCTCACTGAAAACCAAAATAATAATAATAATAATAATAATTCCCTTACAAACAATTTTCTTTCCACAGTGAAACTCCATTTTCAAGACAAAGAGCCTTCGCTAGCATCCTGATCCCTAAGTACTGGTACTAGGGAACTCCTGAGTGAATGACAAACCTCTGAACCACCTGTTTTGTCAGATGTATAAATAAGGACGACTCAGAAAGTCAATGTGTACACTACACAAAGGTGACAGTTCTAGGGCTCAGGGTGTAGCTCAATGAAGTGTGTGCAGCTTTGGGTTGGATCCCCAGCATCTCACAGACACACATGCAGAAAAAAAAAATATATATATATATATATATACACACACACATACATACATGTATGTATAAATATACACACACGGTTTCAAAGGTCTTCACAAGTAAGAAAGTTGAGTGGTAGTTATGCAAGTATTTATTTAACACTATTCTTTGTATCTTAGACATTTTATAAATATTATTTTGTTCCTATTTAAAAAAAAAAAAAAGCTGGGCATGGTGGCACACTCCTGTAATCCCAGCATTTGGAAGGCTGAGGAAGGCAAATCATTGCAAGCCCGAGACCAGCCTGGACTACCAAGTGAGCGCAACGTCAGCCTGAATCACATAGTAAGCCTGTCTCAAAAACACACAAAAAAACAAAAAAACCACTATAACTGGGCATGGTGGTGCACACATGTAATGAGTTCAAGGCCAGCCTGAACTACATAGTGAGATCTTGATCCTGTCCCAAAAAACAAACAAGAAAAATCTAGCACTCTTAAGTGTCCTAATACATTACTCTTAGCTTTTAAAATCTGTCTTTTGGGGGTGGTGCTATGGATTAAAAGAGGGTTACTTTACAATTTAGCTATGTTCTCAGCCCATCTTATTTTTATTTTGAGATACGTTTCACTCAGTCATTCAGGTTGGGCTTGAACTTGTGATCCTCTGGTCTAGCCTCACAAGTAGCAAGGATTACAGGTGTGCCAAACTAGGCCTGGCTGCCTTTGCCTCCTTGAGGGCACTGCAGCTAGTGAAACCTAATCAAAAGAAATAAATACAACTTCTGTAACAAAGATAGGTGTCTTGAACGTGATAATAACTTAATTCTGCCTTAACATGAAAGTCTGTTCACTCAGAAAGGAAATAAAACTATCCTAGCAAGAACCTCCTTTCACTACTCAGCTGCTGGTTATTCTTTGAGATTAATTCTGGACAACCAGGTTTTAAGAATAAAAATATAGGAAAATTGAGAGTCTCAAATTCAGTTTAGAAAGTAGTTTCTTTTTGTTGTTTTTTGAGACCGGATCCAGGCTAGCCTCAAACGCATGGTGATGCTCTTGCCTCAGCCTAAGTGCTGGGATTAACTACAGGAATGTGCCACTACACCAAGCCAAGGAAGTAATCTCTTAAATGCATGGTTGTGGGGCTGGGGATATGGCTCTGTGGTAGTGGTTCATCCAGTATTTGTGAGGCCCTGGGTATGAACCCTAGCATATACACAAGTGCTTGCTTTGGCAGTATAGGCACTAAAGGTGGAATGACACCGAGATTAACATAGCCCGTGCATAAGGATGACATGAAGTTTATGAAGCATTCTGTATTTTCAAAGAAAAAAAAGCACGGCTGTGCTTTCTTGGCTGTTGTTGTCACATGATAACTCAGTGAAAAAATTAATGAACAATGTTCTTACTATGGCAGAAAAATAGAAGAGGCCATTTCCTAAAGCTTCCTTTTACAGATACTTGTTTCTTAGACTTCTCTAGCAGCAGCCTGCCACTAAAACATCCCACCCAGAACTGAAGTAAAATGGAAAATGCTGGATGCCCATTCGTTGTCTAATCTGAAGAATCCAGGTTACTTCTGCAAACCTAACTGCTGGGCCTAGTGATTAATTAACTAGCCAATGGTGAAAAACTGCTATAGCTGGAGAATGAAACAATGACTAGTGTAAGACATTCTTAAACCCGTGTGCTAGCACGTGCCTGTAATCCTGGCACACTTTGAAGACTGAGGGGCCAGAATGGGCTCCATACAGAGTTCCAGACAGCCTGGAATAACAGCAACATTGTATCCCCAAAAGGTGGGTGGGGGGGGTAGGAGTGAGTGGTGGCTCAACTGTGAAGGCCTTGGGTTCAATGCCTAGTACTACAAAATAAAATAAAATAGAATAGAATGAAGTAGGACATTACAGCCTACTGCATATAACCAATATTCACATGGCTGTGTAGGTGTTTCTTACAACCCCACTGGTAGGTTTATAGGTCAAGCCCTAGGAGTGTAAAGGGAATTTTTTTTTTTTTTTTTTTTTTTTTTTGTCTTTTTCCTTTTTATCGGTACCAGGGATCGAACTCACGACTGCCTGCTTGCAAGGCAGGTGCTTATGCCGCTGGGCTAAATCCCCAGCCCCGTGTAAAGGGAATTTAAAGGTTAAATGATCATTGTGTCCCAGAGGAGGTACTATAGACATTTTTGGTGGAACAATACTTTATTGTTTGGGCATTGTCCCAGCACTCCAGGACATGTGCTCAGTCCCTAACATTTTTCCACCAACTAAATGCTGGTGACTTGAAGGGGCAGTGTTGTGACAACAATCAAACCAGCTTCAAGCATCCCTGGATTCTACTACCTGGTGGAGCAGGCAGTAGTAGAGACCACTGGCCAAGGTGAAAAGGCAAAACCTTTAACAGCTGACAGGAACAGAGTGATAGCAGGAAGACACCACAGGTACCTGAGAACACAGACTCAAGGCCTAGAATAGAGCTAGGGACATTGGTTCTGGGAACATTTTCTTTCTTGAATTCACCTGTTCCCAAACTAAGAGACTTTCCTATCACATTACTGATGATAGTCTGAATGTCTCAGGTGTTACAAAGCAAAAAAAAATTTGGGAGGAGGGGTTCAACCAGTGACTGAGGTTTGAATTCTAGGCAAGTGGCTGGGTGGATCCTTAATCTGCATCTTAGTTTCTTCTCTCTATCTATATATATATAGAGAGAGACAGGGTCTTGCTCTGTAGTTCAGGCTGATCTTGAACTCATTGTATAGCCCAGACTGGCCTTGAATTTACAGTGATCTTCCTACTTCAGCCTCCTGAATTCTGGGATTACAAGTGTGTGCAACCACACTCAGCTGTTTCTACATTTATCAGAAAGGAATCATAACTATGTAGGAGGCTATGATCAGAGTTACAGCTAAGATAATGTGCAGCACTGGCAAGTATCAAGTGCTTGACAGAGAGAAACCATGATTATGTTCAAACACACAAGAAGGTTCAAACTCTGAAAATTCTTAATCCAAAATCTGCTTACCTGTGATTCTGTTATTCCATTGTCACCCCTCAAGAATTTTCACCCCTAAGAATTAAGCATCTCTGGTTCCCCCATAAAATGGGGTTCAGAGACCTATCTACTTTTCTGGTGGTCTTCCTCTGGTTTGGGGCTAATATGTGATGTCACTTTCCAAACTCAGGCTTGACTCCAACATGGTGATTCTGACACAATATTTCAACTAATGTACTCCCATTTTTTTGGAGGGGGGCAGAACTGGGGATCAAACTCAAGACCCTGCACTTGCCAGACAGGCGCTTATGCCACTGAACTGTATATCTCCAGCCTCCCAATTTTTAAAATAAAAATGCCAGGCCCTACAGCTCTTTTTTTAAACACAGTTGTGACTCTGGATGTTATGGGTTTTTCTCAGCCCATCAATAAGCCACAACATTCCAAGGTAGTCGGAGAGCACATAATTCTCTGTAGGCAGGGCTTACAGTCCCTTTTGGCAGGAAGTAGCTACATGAAAGACAGAAATTACCACATCCTCAACAACCCATGAAGAACTGGCCAGGTGTGGTGATGCATGCCTGTAATCCCAGCAGGCAGGAAGCTGAGGCAGGAGGATTGTTTCAAGTTTGAGTCCAGCCTGGGCTACAAAGTGAGCTCAAAGCAGGGCTGGAAATATAGCTCAGTGGCACAAGTGTATACTTTTTTTTTTTTTGTCTTTTTCCTTTTTATCAGTACCGGGGATTGAACTCATGACTGCCTGCTTTCAAGGCAGGCGCTTATGCCGCTGAGCTAAACCCCCAGCCCCACAAGTGTATACTTGCCTGGCAAGTATGAGATTGTGAGTTGGATCCCTGGTGCCAAAACAAAAAACAAAGTGAGCTCAAGGCCAGCCTGAACTTCATAGTGAGACCCTGTTTCAAAAAGACCAAAAAAAAAGATGGCGATTTATGTCTCTCAGAGAAATGAGACAAATGATTAGGGCATGGTTGCCTGTCTAAGCAAGTAGGTGTGACCTCTCATTAATGGAGATTCAGGACACACAGGCCAAGCCTTGTACCTGGGACTGTCTTCAATTCCACAGGCATGGAATCAAGCAAGTTTTGGATAGGATGGCCTAGATCTGATGTCAGAATGGGGGATGTAAAAGACAGTGGCCAGTAACCTGATGGCCTGTGAGTATACTTTTTCTACTTGTAATTAGCCTTCACTCAGAATAATAATAAATAAATAAATTTAAAATATTGCTACCTTTAAATTTAAAAAAACAAAAAAATTTAAAAAAAACAAAACGGCCAGGGATATAGCTCAGCTCCATAAGCACCTGTTTGGCAAGTGCAAGGTCCTAAGTCCAATCCCTAGTACAACAAAAACAAAACCAAACAAAACAAATTTAAGAAAAGAGAGCCAAGCATGTTGACACATGCTTGTAATCCTGGCACTCAGGAGGCTAAGGCAGGAGGATAGCTGGGAGTTCAAGGCTCGCCTGAACAGTTCAAGGCTGCATAGTGAAACCCTGTTTCAAAAAGACAAAAGGAGCTGGGGATTTAGCTCAGTAGCACAAGGGCCTGCCTAGCTAGCACGAGATCATAAGTTTGATCCCCAGTACCAAAAAAAAAAAAAAAAAAAAAAAAAAAAAAAAAAAAACAGACAAAAATAAATAAATTTAAAAAAACAACTGTAGAGGGGCTGGAGATTTAGCTCAGTGACATAAGCGCCTGCCTTGCAAGTGTATAGTCATGAGCTCGATCCCCGGTACCGATTAAAAAAAAAAAACAAAAAACACCGATTAAAAAAAAAAACAAAAAACAATTGTAGAGTAGGTAGGGTTAACTGTGCCCACAGGAGTCTCCAGTTTGAACAGATGTTTAGAATCAAATATATAAATTATAAAATTTTAGGGATATTTTAAAGGACAGACAAATGAAAACTAAAAGAGTAATGGATACTCCGTGAATAAAATCTACTAGGTTTTTCAGACGAGCATTCAATGTAGAAGTTAAGCCTATGACTCACAACTGGATATCATGTTAATAAAGCATAGATAATACAACATAGTTAGCTTGGCCAATAACATGAGTCCAGGGGCTAAGGAGGTAACTCAGTGGCAGAGGACACGCTTGGCATGCACAAGGCTTTGGGTTCAATTTCCACTGCTATCAAAACGAAACAAAACAAACTTGGCTCAGCAAATCCCATTCAGAAGATACCCAAGTACTGTTTGCAAAAACATCACCTGCATATCCAGGCCACATGACACCAGGCTCTGAGGCCTCTGAGGTCGAAAAGCGACAGAGGAACAGATATTGGAATGTCTCTTCAGGGATCTGCTAACTTTCTTATTTTCCAAGTCTAGAATTTTGATTGCCCCAGAGTCGTCAGCAGAAGCCAGGAGGTTTTCAGCTTCATTCAGTGAAAGGCAATTGATCTCTTCTTCATTCACGTGAAAATGGTCTAGAGACTCTTTAAGGGCTCTGACATCCAGGATGCTAATGGTTTCTCCGTGTGCGGCGTAGATATTAGTAGGGCAGGAGTGGGAAAACACAACACTGGTCACATCATCAGTGCCTGGGAACCTCATGTGTCCTAATGGAGTCCCATCCTCACTCCACACTGTAAGGTCTCCACCCCCTGCTCCAGAAGCCACTAGTCCATCTTTACTTGCATTCAGGCAAAGGATGGGAGAAGAATGTCCACCAGTCCACTTGACAGCCATCATGGCACAGGAGACCCTGTAAAGGGAAAGGAAAACTGTGTCATGTTTTAGACAAGAATTTGATGGCAGGAGACAAATGTAACAAGCAGTATTTCACTTAAATATTTTATTTACTTAGGTGTTTTTCAACTTAATTTAATTGAATCAAGTTATTTTTTGGTTTTATGAGACAGGATCTTGCTATGCAGTTCAGGCTGACCTTTGACTCACTTTGCGGCCTAGACTGACCTCACACTCACAGCAATTCTCCTGCCTCAGCCTCCTGAGTATTGGGACACTTAAATATTTTAAGAAGACATCTTTAAAAACTCAGTAACTAAGCTGGGCATGGTGGCTCATTTCTGTAATGGCAGAATGCAGGAGGCTGAGGCACGAGGTTTTTTGAGAGTTCCAGACCAGCCTGGGATGCAAAGTGAGCTCAAAGCCAGCCTGAACTGCCTGGTGAGATCCTATCTCAAAAAAACAAAAATAAAACAACAAAAAAACTTCAGTAACTAAAAAAAAAAAAAAAAAAAGTATAAATAAAAGCTAAGTAACAAAAGCTTTTGTAATAGGGAGGGGAAGAAAAGTTGAAGGGAGGATAGGCAGACAGGGATAAAAAGGAATCAAGTTATTTCACATACACACATAATAAACTTTCCGGTAAATGTGATCATCATGTGTATCTAAAATGTACCAATAAAATTTGATTTAAAAAAAGCTTAGTAACAAATAATGAAAACACAAATTCCAAGTCCACAGAAGCTGAAAACAAGGCTGTGGTGTGCTGGCTGGACATGCCAAAGAAGAACTTACAAAGAAAAAACTTCCTGAATTTCTTTACCACGCTGAGAAAATACTTCAATTTAATCTAATGATACAGAGATAAATTTCCAAATATTGTTTCAAAAAAATCACCTTAATCTGGCAATCTGCCTAAAAGCTCCTTTTCTCTATTCTGTATACAAAAGTTTTTTTTGTTTTTTTGTTTTTTTTTTAAACAGGGTATCACTATGTAGTTCAGGCTGGCCTTGAACTGACAGGAATCCTCCCGTTTCAGCCTCCCAAGTGTGAGGATTATAGATGTGCAGCACTGTATCTGGTCCAAACTGCTTATTTCCTTCCATTTTAGCCACACTATCTCTCCTTCACAACCTACTCACTAATTAAGACTGCAAAAAAAAAAAAATCACTGATGTATTAGTAATCCAGGTAACAGAGAGATGGTCATAAAATCAAATACAGCAATTTTCATAAAGATGACAAAATGGAAGAATAACAAAATAAATACTTATTTTAGCAGATGCACACAATTACTATGTGGAGGAAACTAATCAAATACAGACTGGAGCAAATAAGATTTAAAAGAGAATCTTAAAAAGGAGATGATTCAGGGAGGCCTGGTGGTTTGATTTTTTGCTGAGAAGCATTGGAATGGAAAGTAATCTGCCCCAACACAGATTCTGTGCTCCCTTTGGCAGCACATATACATAACACAGATTCTTGCCACCAATTCCAGAAAAAACAGGGGGAAAATAGGGTAATTTATTTAGTTTTTTGGTGTTGGGGATTGAACTCAGGGCCCCAGACCTTAAATTTTAAATCAAGTTTCTGATACTAAGCTTAGGAATTGTCTAGCAACATATAATGGAGATCCTATCCTACCTTAAAATAATTTAACTTGAATTTGTAGGGTACTGACACATTTTCTAAATTAGGGTTTACTTTTGCTATGATGAATCAATTTTATTTTCTTCTCTCTTTTTTGTGGGGGTGGAGAACAGGGATCTTGCTACACAGTTCAGGGTAGTTGTGAACTCAATGTGCAGCCCAGGCTGTCCTTGAACTCACTATAATCCTCCCATCTTGGTCCCTCATCCCAGTACTAGGATTATAGGTGTGCACCACCACACCTTGCTGATTAATCAACTTTAAAATCAGGAAATTTGTATAGCTTTAATACTTTTTATGTGTGTGCATACAGGTTTTTTTGTTTGTTTGGTTGGGTTTTTTTTTTTGCCTTTTTGAGACAGGGTCTCACTATGCAGTTCAGGCTGGCCTCGAGCTCACTTTGTAGCCTAGGCTGGTCTCGAACTCGAAACGATCCTCCTGCCTCAGCCTCCTGAGTGCTGGGATTACAGGCGTGAGCCACCATGCCCGGCCATGCACATACAGGTTTTGGATACCTAGTGGGACTTTAGGTTTTCAGTAGACAAAGCTTCTAGTGCTTCTATTTCTCTATCAAAAATCTACAAGAGATCCGAATTGTTGACACAGACAAAAGCATTAGCAGGTTTTCTTCTCAATATAATTTTTTTTTTCTTTTGGTACTGGGGATTGAATTCACAACTTCGAGCTTGCCTGGCAGGCACTTAAGCCACTGAACTAAATCCCCGGCCCTCAATATAATTTTTTCTGGAAAAAAATTAACATAATTGTAGAGGTACATTTGGTTAAGTTCTATTCCAGGGCATGAGAAATTAGGCAATAAATGGATTTATAACTAAGAGAATTACTACAAAAATACAGTTCCTATACATTTTCCATAATGAAATCGGAAATAAACCTGTATTAATTCTACAAGACCCAAGAACAGTTTACAAACTTAAACTTTATGTGCCAGAGTAAAAATAAATTTACAATCTTTAAATGACATGGGTAATATTTATTGATCAACCATCCTAGTCAGAAAAAAATCAAAGACTAATTTTCAAAACGTCAAAAATGTTGGAAAAACCTCAAGTCTATAATTCTATGAGGCTTTTAATCAACATTTATCATACTCGATCAAGGATTTAACTAGTGCCTATAAAAGCTGTCTCTAAAAGAAAAATTGTTTACTACATGAAACATTATCCAAAGTTCACCATCAAAATGTGTTAAGCAGACTACTGTGGTAGAAGAAAAAAATATAATGAAATCTGGGTTCCATTAAAACAATGTTTCAGAAGTAAGTTTCCAGCAAGCTATTGTTTCTTATTTTTTTATGACTAGGACTAGAAAGCCTATCAGAAACAGGTTAAGCCCAGAATTCTCACATTCAGGTAACAAGTCAACAAGGTGCTTTTCTTGTGCACTTGCCTAGAAGGTCAAGTACACCATTAATCATATTCTATTATGGATATGATTAATTAAATAAACTTCCAACACCTAAAGAGATCATGTAGTGGGTGAGGACAAGGTAGGGTATTTTGAGAGCATTTCTAGAAAGGGTGGAGCAGCAGGACAGAATGAGGGCACGGAACACAGGGAAGGGGAAATGGTGAGAAGAGGCTGATGAGCAGGTAAAAGACATAAAAAGAAGGGTGTGATAAAGGTAATCTTTTCCTGCTGTGAGATTCTACTTGGGGATAGAGCACCAAAATTATCAAATCCTTCCGAGGTTCTACCTAACTAGTAATGAGCCAGGGTAAAGGCCAAAGTCTTTGGCCTTAACAACTGAATAATCTCTACTTTCAGAGTTCTTCTCTAGTCACATCTCCATTCATCGGCTTGTCTTTTTTTAAGGGTTTTGCTAAAATGCCCACACTGGTCTCAAACTAATGGGCTCCAGTGATCTTTTTGTCTCAGCTTCTGGAATGTTGAGACTGTAGATGCCATATACTAAAACTATTCATTCAGTGTGGTCCCTTATCTCCTTCTCAAGTGGACTAATCTACCCTGGAAGATTTGAAAGAAACATAACTCTTCTCAGACTAAATGTGGTCCAACTCTTGGGAAAGACCTGAAAGTCACCCTTGGTTGAGGCAGACCAACTTTTCTTCACAGGTTTGGGCTTTCTATGTCTCGATGTGGAGACACTTACTAGCAATCAAAATGGTTGAAAGGCTGGGGCACTGGTATTAGTAAGAAATAAAAATAATTTGAGTTACTAAGCTTGGTGAAAAAGACAACGAGGAAGGGACTGGCAAGTAATAAACAGGTAATTATACCACAGGGTTTGAACAGTATTTACTTTTTTTTTGACTAGTGAACAAGAAATAGATTAACATAGTAGGAAGTTTCAGGCAAGATTTCTTACTACATAAAGATTGCAAGACATTTGAGTTAACTACTAAGCAAGTTTGTGAAACCTATCATTATAATAATTACTTGAGAATTATATTAAAACCAGTTTAGGGAGCTGACAATGCAACTCTGTGATAAAGCACGTGCCTAGCATGTTTAAGGCCCAGCACCACAAACAAAAAAACTATGTAAGCAACCTAGTACAGTCTCTGGCGCACATCACAGTTATTATTATTCTATTCTTAGAACTAAATAAATGTTGATTGGCAAACAAATTTTTAGCAGGTTTTCTTCTCGATATTTTTTCTAGAAAAAATTAACTCAATCTTTTAAAGGATGTCAGAAAACTGTAGGGGCCCTGTAGGATAAATGTGGTATGAATACATAATGCCGAAATTCTTTCCTTTCCAAGAAACCATCTACAATTCAGCTCCACGTCATTCTCCCTACTGGAATGCTTAACTGTGTACAACATTAACCTGCCTAGTAAGCGGTGAATCTGAGAATATTACATTTTACCCACAGTTTGTGGTTAACTTTGAGGTTATCCAAACTTGAGGAAGAGGATAGTTGTAGACAGTTTTCATTTGTAGCCACCAGAATTTCGAAACGCACCCCGGGACAACGTTCTGAAAAGTACTCATACTCAGGAGGGCCTGACCTGGAAAAGACGGTCTCCAGCCACCCCACCGCCCAGAAACAGACGTTCCCAACTGCCCAGGGTCTTTTACCAGAAAGGAAAGAGAAGTTCTATGAGCTAAGTTGGAGGCCGAAGCAGGAACCAAGAACACAGAAATGGTGTACGAAAACGCCGCGAGGCCCCCAGCCCAAAAAGCTAGTCAGGAAAGCAAACCCCGAACTCACTCGGGAAGGCTCATACCTGCGCTTCCCGATCGCCTCCTCGGCGCCTCACGATGACCTCACCCGCTGTGCCCAACCCCAGCAAGCAAGAGGCGTAAGGCCCCGCCCTCAAACGGTCACATCCGGGGCCGAGAGGAACAGCGAGCGAGCTGAGCGTGCGCCCTTACTTCGTGCCCTCAACTTGCATGGCGGAGCCCGGGGCTCGCCGCGGCAAGGCTTTGCAAGTCGGGCGGTTCCAGCGGTCGCGCTGAGCTGCGGGGGAGGGGCTGAGGACGCCGGTGCGCCCGGGCGTCTGCCCTCAGTGAGGCGGGGCGCGTGGCAGACGCCCCGGGGCAGGGGCGGGAGTGGTGGAGCGCTAGCCGCTGGCTCTGAAAGGCGCGGTGCGCGAGCTGCGGAGAATTTTGAGGCAAAGCTTGGCCTCCTCCGGAGCCAAGACGGTGGACGGCGGCGACGGCGGCGGCAGCAGCGGCCCTCGGGCCCGCTGGTGAAGGATGGCGGCGCCGGGCCCGGGGGCCGGGGCAGCCTCGGGCGGCGCGAGCTGTGGCGGCGCGGGCGCGGGCTCCGGGGCCGGGGCGTCGGGGGGGCCCGGCGGCCGACTGCCCAGCCGGGTGCTGGAGTTGGTGTTCTCCTACCTGGAGCTGTCGGAGCTGCGGAGTTGCGCGCTGGTGTGCAAGCACTGGTACCGCTGCCTGCACGGCGACGAGAATAGCGAGGTGTGGCGGAGCCTGTGCGCCCGCAGCCTGGCCGAGGAAGCTCTACGCACGGACATCCTCTGCAACCTGCCCAGCTACAAGGCCAAGGTGAGGGAGTCCGGCCGCCGAGCGCGCTCTGTGCGTCTCCTGCAAGCCTTTGGGTTTAACGCCTCGGCTCGCCATCCCGCCTTTCCACCAGTCAGTGCCCTTCTCGCTCCCCCTTCATAAAGATTCTCTTTCCTTTGGATGAAAGTTCTGCTCCTTAACCCTCCCCACTTCCGTGATCCACTTTTAAAAAAGACCAGGTGTTTGCCCATCGCTGGTTCCCAGCTCTCGGTCTACTTTCAACAGTCGTTAAAGACGGAGCACCGGGTCTTGGGCATTTTAATACTGTACTTTTGTGTTTTCCTCCCCGGCCTCCACATAGACTTTTATTACATTACATCATCGCGGCTGCCTTAATGTGGATTTAGTTTCTGAGATTTTGCATTTGCTTCGCCTTTTCTAATCTCTGATTTATCTCATTTTTAAAAACATATTTCCGCCTAAGTTCCCTTCACTGTATTTCAGGCTTACAAGGGAGTGTAGTCTTGGTCATTCTGCTAAAACTTTCAGATACAGGCTTTCATAGAACGTCCTCCCACCGACACCGTATAACTGTCATAATCCTGCCTTGTGCTACTGTTACTGGCGACTTCCTTGCTAACTTTTTAATAGTTTTACCTTGATGATAGTTCTCCTCTGTTGTATTTGTCATCACATGTGCTGATTCCAATCTTGCTGCTTTCTGTTTCTCAGATTCTTGTCGATATTTCCTCTCCCAAAATCAAAATTGCCAAGTAACAGGTTGTGGTAGGGTTGAGAGAATCCTTTCTCCAAGACTTGTAAACAAAGGCCACTGCTTAGGTTAAGTTAGCAACAGCTCTACAGGATAGCAGTTACCAAGACCTTGTAAGAGAAAGGATAAAGTCTCACCTGCAGTGTGGTTAAAAAAAAAGAGTGAGAGAGAGAGAGAGAAAAAAAAAAGGGGAAGCATGCCAGTGAGGGTCAAAGTAAGTAAATCTTTTTCTGCGCGAAATAGATGTACTTTTCTATATTAAAACAAGTAACCCCCACCACTTGAGAGGTTGAGGCAGGGGGATCACAAGTTTGAGACTCAATAGTAAGGCCCTGGGTCAATAAAATAAAAACGCTGGGGATAGTGGTAGAGTGTCTGCTTGGGATGCGCAGAAATCCTCAGTTAAATCTTCAGTAACACACACACACACACACACACACATACGACTCCCCCCCAAAAAAAACTGGGAAAGAAATATAAAAGATAAAGAGCATCATTATTAAGTATACCAACTATCAAAAATTGTTTTTTAATTAAGTGAAACAACATTTACTAGGACAATATTCATGCATAGTATCAGTAAGAACTTTCTTAGGACAATGCAGAAAACTGCAGTTTTGTCCTACTTTGCCTAATAAATGTGTGGGTTTAAGTTTTGTTTGTTTTTTTGTACCAGAGATTGAACTCACAACCTCGCACTAGCCAGGTAGACACTTATGCTGCTGAGCTACACACCCGACCACTAAGTTTTTAAATTTTTTAAATTAAAAATTTACCATAAAGTTTATTAGTTTTGCTATTTTTTTTTTTTTGTCTTTTTCTTTTTTTATCGGTACCGGGGATCGAACTCAGGACCGCCTGCTTGCAAGGCAGGTGCTTATGCCGCTGAGCTAAATCCCCAGCCCCTAGTTTTGCTCATTTTAAGTGGACTTGTAATTCATTTTGAAATAGATATGCTCACAAGTCAAGATTCATGTGATGTGTTATAGATAATGTGTCTGTGTGAGTCAAGTTTCAACAGAAGCAAAATAATGTAAAATAGGAATTGGGCATATAACTGAGCAGCACAGCACCTGCCCACCAAGTACAAGGTCATGAGTTGAGTCTCCACCAATAAAAGGAATGTCTTCTCAAAAATGATGTAAAGCAAAATGTCTCCCTTTGCCCCTCTCCTTCACCTGTTCAGTTCCTTTTCTTGGAGGAATCTGGTTTCCGTCCTCCCAGAGATAGTTTCGCTTTAAATTTTTAATGGTTTGTTTACCTTTCTATTCTATATATAATACTAATTGTGTACTACTACAAAGACTTGTTCTAATCACAGTTCATTCTCATGGGATCTTTTTTTTAATATCTTAGTAGTGAAAGGATTAATTCAAATGGGGGCAGGCTAATAGAGAAGTCCAGTTTAGTAAAGGTGTAAAAAATGTATTGAAATAACTGTAATGCATGGTATACATTGCTTCTTGCTGTTAGAGACAAAAAGTATACTAGAAACTCAATGAAAGGAGGATATCATTGAATAGAAAATTAGAAATGGTTTGAGATTGAGTTTGTATTGAGTTGAATTTTAAAGATGAGGTAGATGTGAACATTTTTGAGACAGGGCTCTCTAATTCAGGCTGGCCTTGAACTCACTGTGTAGCCCAGGCTAGTGCAGCCTCCTGAGTCTCTGAGGGCTAGGTTTACAGGTGTGTGCCATCCTTTGGGCTAGATTTGAGCATTTTATAAAGAGGAAGTACTCTAACCAGAACAAGAGGAAAGCAAAGGCCCCATGCTCAGTTTTGCAGAGGTATTGGTGAATGAAAACCAGACTCATGGATGCCTTGGGTTAAATTCCTGTGTTTTACAGTGTGAACCAGCAGCTGAAAACTGCTTGGAAGGAGAGATACATGGTGTCAGTAGTAAAGGATTTGACCCGAATAGGGAGATCAGGGAAAGCTAACTACCTTGCTTGCTTTGGGTTTGTTGCTGCTGCTGTTGTTTTGGGAATCCAACTCAAGACCTCATGCTTGCTAGGCAGGCGGGGAAAGCTTTCTTATAAGATATAAGTTACACATGAAGAATAAGGATAAAGAGGCCAAGGGTAAAGAGAAGAGCCTTTTGGAAGGGAACACAACACGGATGAGGAGCAGAAATATATAGTGGGCTGGAGCATAGAGAGCAAAGGTGGTGCTGGTTTGAGATAAGTGGGAAGAGGGACTTAAGGATATGGGACCTGGTGATGTTTATTTTGCATTTTAAAGAGCTTATTTCTGATTTCAGCCGGGAGAACAGGTTGGGGAGGACCTTCGAAATTAGGAATGTTTAATTAGCAGATAGTGAAGGAGATGGATACAAGTTGACAGGTTTAAGAAGTAAAAGCCTCACAGTTTAGTAATAGATTTGACACAAATGAGAAAGAGGGAGGTGTTAAGGATGGCTCCTAGGTATCTAGGTTGCATAATGCAGGGATCAGTTGGGCTACACTTTTAGAGGAATGGCAGTGAGTTTGATTGTACAGTACAATTTATAGTATTTTTGAGATATCAAAGGTTTCAAATTGGCAGCTCTTAGGATGCTCAAAGGCTAAAGATATAAAACGGGGCCGAGTGTGAAGGTGAGTGGTAGAGGGCCTAGCATGTGCAAGACCTTGGGTTTGATGCTCAGCACTGCAGGGGAGAATATATATTCAGTTTAGTTAGGTGAAATGGAGAGAAATAGTGGGAAATACAGTGGTAAAGGTAAATAGGAACTAGATACTTCATGGAGGAGCTTTTGAAATGCAGTCATCGGGGGCTGAGGATTTAGCTCAGCGGCATAAGCGCCTGCCTTGCAAGCAGACAGTCGTGAGTTCAATCCCTGGTACCGATAAAAAGGAAAAAGACCAAAAAAAAAAAAAAAAAGAAAGAAAGAAATGCAGTCATCAGTCTGCTGTTTGAACTTTATTTGGTTTGGGTTGGGCTTTTTGTTGTTTGTTTTGAGACATGGTCTCACTATGTAGTTCAGGCTGGTCTTGAACTCACAGCAATCTTCCTGTCTTAGCCTCCTGAGTGCTGGGATTACAGGCTGTGCCACCATGCCCAGCTGGACTTTGTTTTATAGTTGGGAAAAAAAAAACAAAGCAAAAGTTTAAACAGGAGTGACAGAGTATAAGTTGTACTTTTAAAAGATTAGACTATTTGATCACCTTGTATTATGTTTTTACATTATCTATTATGTCCACCCTTTTGACTTGACCACTTCTGTTCTGTTATGTCACATTTGGTTTTACTCTCTTCCAAAAAAGCAATAAGAACCGTGGGAGCAATGAAACCCAAAATGTGTAATAGTCATTGTACAAAAGAGAGGAAAAGAAAGTGCTCTAAACTATATAACTGCATGTATATTTAAGTGTATAAGATAGAAAATGATATCACAGAGTTTTATTGGATCATTGAACAGAACTGTTTGCAGTATCATTGTTGGAATGTCCACTCTACAAGCTTTAATTTTGTGACTTGAACAATTAATTCTAAGATGGCAATATGTAATCCATTAACTAGTGATTTCCTACTGTTCATTTTTTTGCCTCGTAAATCTATATAACTTGTACCCTTTCACTGTTTTTTTTTTCTTTTCTCCTTAAATAAAATAAAATAAAATAAAATAAAATAAAAGATTAGACTAGTAGGATATGGTGATGCATGCCTGTAATTCCTGTGCTCCGAGAGTGAAGTGGGAGGATTGCCACAGGTTCAAGGCTAGCCAGGGCTACGCAGTGAATTAAGGGCCAGCCTAAACTATAAAGTGAGAGAGACCCTGTCTCAAAAAACCAATAAATAAGTAAGGAAAGAGCACCATAAAGGTGAATGAGCAGAGGTCAGTGCCTGTACTGGAGAGAAAGGGTGAATGGAGAGCTGTCACAGAGAGCAGATCCTAAGGTGGGCAGCAGACTGGGTGAGAGGGGTAAAGAAGAAGGCAGAGTCAAATAGAATTTCCAAGGTGACAAAAGCCTAGGTGACAAAAGGATGGAAACAGATTTGGAATAATATCAAACTGGAAAGTGGTCAGGTGTGGTGCACTTGGGAGGCTCCTTGTGAGCTTGCGGCCAGCCTGAATGATATAGTGAGACCTTGTCTCCAAAGAAAAAAAAAGAAGAAGGAAGGAAGAAAAAGTGTATTTGTAGTTCATTATTTTATTTGGGAGTTTTCATTTTTCTTCCTAAAATTAAAGAACAAAAGTTTTTTAAAATTTTTTGCTGTGGATCAAACCCAGTGTCATGTACATACCTATTATATACTCTACTACTTAGCCACAGTCCAAGCCTCAGAAATTTTCTTTTATAAATTCATGTTTTACATGTCACCAGTGGGATTAGTTCCAGACATACCTGTCATCTAGTTCTCTTAAATTTTAGACTTAGATGCAAAGCTAGGTCTTAAAGCTGTTTGCAATAGCATAAAATCCAAGTTGTTCATGAGCCTGAGACAGAAATTAAAGATTGTTTTTTTTTATTAATTTGATATTTTTCTATTTCATCTGAATTTCTCAGTGTTAGTTTCTAAAGCACTTATAATCATAATTCTACTATCACTTCTAAAAGAAAGTAATTTCTTAATATATAATATACAGTGTTCTTGCTGGGTGTGATAGCACACGACTGTAATCCCAACACACAGGAGGCTGAAGCAGGAGGTGTGCTGTGAGTTCAAGGGCAATTTGGACTGCATAGTGTGTTCATAGTAAACCTGGACTACATAACGAGACCCTGTCTCACACATACACACACACACACACACAAAACCTAAAAAGATAATGAAATAAAACAGATAGTGCTCTGGCCAGGCATGGTGGCATATGCCTGTAATCTCAGCACTCAGGAGGGTGAGTCAGGAAAATTGCCACAAGTTCAAGGCCAGCCTGGACTACATAGATTAGGACCAGCTGGAACTACATAAGGAGACCCTGTTTCAAAAAACAAAAACAAATACAGTATTCTAATTTTAAGTTGTCTGGTAAATATCAAATGCTGTATTTTAAATTTATAGTTAGTTTAATCAAGGTCTACAAAGATACCTGCAGCAAACAGCTGATATGTCTCAAAAGGCTATTTTAGTCCATAGATTTTCTCCTCCCACCTTTTACCTCTGCAGTTTATGTTCTCTGCCTGAATTTTACTGTTTTCATTCCCATGGTGGTGTTTACCGTGTTCTTCTGTCCTCCATGTCTCCTACAGTTTCCTTTAATTAGTTTTTTTCCCTCCAGTGTGTATTCATTTTACTAGAAGTGGTTTGAGGTATGTTAGAAGATGATCTCTGTATAATTAAGTGTTGCATGGTGCAGACAGTGGTGGGGCAGGATTCGAGAGAAATGAATGGGGTTGGGTGGCTCTGATTAATAATAGAATCATGGAGGCGGTATTGGAAGATGTGTGGGAAGAGGGAAGCAGATACAACACAACACACAGGAAGGTAGAAAAGGAAATAGGAGGAAAACAATCTGGAGGGCTTTGGAACTAGGCAGAAGAATGTACATTTGATTATGGTACTAATTATGAAATTGCTAAAAGATGATTAATAGGGAAAAGATGCAGTAAAGGTGGTGGTGTCTTAGACAGCTCTGGGAATAATTTAGGATGAAGGACTGAGCTTGGAGAATTTGAGGAGGTAGAGGAAGGGTAGTCACTGAAACAAACACAGTGTGGGCGGTGATGGCAAACCTTTTAGAGACTACCCAAACTGCAAACCCAAGCCCACTTATTTATTGCAAAGTGCCAGTGCTGTAATTAAACCTGAATGTCCAGTACTTGGCTGCTGGAGAGATACTGGAGAAACTTGGCATAAGTAACCATAGGTTTGCCACCTAGGACCTTGCACATGCTAGGAAAGTGTGCCACACTGAGCTACATACCTAATCTCAAAATAGTTTTTTTTTTTTTTCCTTTATCCTGGTACCAGGTATCAAGCTCAATACTGTGCACTTGCCAGGCAGACACTTATAGTGCGGAGCTAAATCCCCAGCCCTCAAATACAGTTCTTAATGATAATAGCATTGCCATTATGAAAAAAGCATTTTCTCTTTGATATAAAATTATCAATGACTCAAGACAAATGTGGTTTCACATTCACCCTTACACTTCCACTGGATATTTCCAAATAGTTCCTGCATGTCATTGTTTCAGCTATAAACATTTCAGGATTATCTATAAAATACAAGGATTCTTTTATATATCTCTGAAAGTGTTTGTTTGTTTGTGTTTTTATTCCTTTGAAATAGGGTCTTACTATGTAGTTTAGGTTGGCCTTGACCTCACTGTGTCACCCAGACTGGCCTTCAGTTCGTGGCAATCCTCCTGAGCATTGGAATTGTAGATGTGAGCCACTCTGCCTGACTCTTTAATGACTTGTTTGTTTGGAGAATTACAGTACAGTTTAGAATTTGGTCAGTGATAAGAATGTTGACAGTTTGTTTCTTTGGTAAGGCATAGACGCAGTATGTTGCCCCAGCTGGTTTTGAATTCCTAGTTCAAGTGGTTGTCTCCTGCCTCAGCAACCCCCTCCTCGGCCCTGCCCCAGCACCTGGACTTATGGGTGTGTGCCATCATGCCTGGGTTCAGCCAGGAGTTATTTTTAATTGTTACATAATATTTTTGGTTAGTAGCCCATCATGAAACTTTAGCCATTCATTATAAGGAAATACTTAATGTATTACTTAAAAATATATAATTCCATTGTTTAAAAACATGTCTGAAATTTAAATACTATTTAATATTTAAGACAAATCAAGTTTTTCCTCTGGTTTGTTTCTCCTCTTCAGGTACGTGCTTTCCAACATGCCTTCAGCACTAATGACTGCTCCAGGAATGTTTATATTAAGAAGAATGGCTTTACCTTACATCGAAACCCCATCGCTCAGAGCACTGATGGTGCAAGGACCAAGATCGGTTTCAGTGAGGGCCGCCACGCGTGGGAAGTATGGTGGGAGGGCCCTTTAGGCACTGTGGCAGTGATTGGAATTGCCACGAAGCGGGCCCCCATGCAGTGCCAAGGTTACGTGGCATTGTTGGGCAGTGACGACCAGAGCTGGGGCTGGAATCTGGTGGACAATAATTTACTACATAACGGGGAAGTCAATGGCAGCTTCCCACAGTGCAACAATGCACCAAAATACCAGGTGAGAGACTGGGTCTGCTCAGCCGTGGGCCTTTATCCAGTCACAGCTCATTTGTTTTAAATTTACAAATATTTATGTAGTGTCTATGATTTGGCTGTTGTTTTGTGGATTGTGAATAGTACGTGGTGTATCTCAGTATCTCTTTCCTAATGTGTATTTGACCTTGAGAGCCCATTTTTGCTCCACATCAATGATTGGCAACTTTCTGTGTGGACCAGAAAGTAAATGTTTTAGGCTTTGCAGCTCATATGGTCTCTGTCACAACTTTAAACTCTGTCGTTACAGGATGAAATCAGATATTTATGCTATATGAGTAAATGAACATGGTTGTGCTTATTTTGAGGGCTTATTATTTTAGATTTGGTCCAGGAATTGTAGTTTGCCAGCTATTGCTTGAGATTGTTTCCTGTGTTGTGCCGCTAGTAAATCTTTTTTACTAGATTCTTTACCCCAGCAAATGTACCTGTGTTATATAATATGCATGCTCACTCTGTATTGCTTATTAATCGTTGTGGATTTAACAGTTGCTATAAAGACAGGCAAGTTCAGGCAAACTGTTGCATTTTTTAATTATTTTTGTCTTAAGTCATACTCATTTGCATCTCAAATCAAAATTATAATTCCTATTTCTAAAAGAACGATTGCCATAGTATTGGCAGAGTGTAAAACACAATTTGGTAAGACATTAGAAGTCTTAAGAGGAGCTGCATGTATTTAGAAATATGTGCCCTCAATGATAATCTCATTAGGCATTCTAAAGTAGAAATAATATATTCCATTTCCTGAAATAGAAAAACTGGAAGGAGCTGGGCCTGATGGCTCATGCCTGTAATCCCAGCACTCTGGAGGCTGAGACAGGAAAATCATTGTGAGTTCGAGACCAGCCTGGGCTACAAAGTGAGCTCAAGGCCAGCCTGAACTGTGTAATGAGACCCTGTATCAAAAAGGCAACAAAACAAAACACCCAAAAACTGGAAAGATTTTGTTTCATGGAGTCCTTTCCTCAAGTGTCCTTTTAGACTCTGTAGACACTCTACAGAGAGTGTCTGCATTTAATAATCACTGAAGATAATGTCCTACCACAACCTCTGTGATGATTTTATAGTGAAAAGTCCTGAAGTTTTTGTTTTTCAAAGAACATACTGTGATTTCAGTCCTTTTAAATTTATTGAAATTAGTTTTATTGTCAGCATGTGGTCTGTTTTGATGAGTGTTCCATGTGTGCTTAAAAAAATGTATTCTGTTGGGTGGAATATTCCCTTCATGACCTTCATGACAATTAGGTCAATTGGTTGGTAAGGTTCAAGTCTTTTATATTGTTACAGAGAGTAGTATTGAAGTCTCGGACTAGGTTTGTCTCTCTCCTTTCAGTCCTGTCAGTTTTTCCATAGGTGAACAGATGGGTTATTAGGTACATGTACATTTCTGTTACATCTCTCTGCCTGATTAGTTCTTTCATCGTTATGAAATGATCGTTCTCTCTCTTTCTTTCTTTTTCTTTCCCTCCCTCCCTCCCTCCCACACACCACTCTCTCCTCCCACATGCCTCTCTCTCTGTCTCTCTCTCTCTCTCTCTCTCCTTTCACCTTTTTGGTGCCAGGGATCAAACTCACGGCCTTGCACTTACCAGGGAAGTGTTAGAGCCCTTGAACTGAATCCGCAGCCCCACTCCAGTTTTCTTGGCGTACAGTTATAAAGTATTCTCTTTCATACTCTCATTTTTACTTTCAGACTGTCTCATATTTAAAGTGAAGCCCTGGATAACATGTAATTGGGTTTTTTAAAATCTAACCCAGCCTTACAACCTCTGCCTTTTGAAGTGTGTTTTGGTTACTTTTCTCTCGTTGTGGAGACAAAATACCTGACACCCAAAATTAGGGAAAGGAAGATTTATTTTATCTTACTGTTTTCAGGGGTTTATCTATTTTCAGCTGGCTCCAAGGCACGGTGGTGTGGCTGAGGAGCAAGCATTCATGGCGGCCACAAACAGCAAGAGCACAAAGGGCAAAAGATGGAAGAAGCAGGCCTCCTTCCTTCCCTTATATTGCATGTGAGCTCCGCCAGTCCCAGCACTAGACAACGAACCAATCGCAAACATGACTGTGCCAGGATTGGTGGGCCACCTAGACATCATAGCAGAGTGTTTAGTCTGTTTACATTTAATATGATTGTTGGTGTTGTGCTTGATAGTGAGTGTTCTTATCACTCAGCTTCTGAAGTTAATCTACCTGCCAGCTATTTCTTTGTATTCTTTGTTTTAGATAATTTAGATAATTTCTTCAAGTTCATTGCATCATTCTTCTGCCCTCAACTAGGCTAGTGAATTTTAGTCTTTTTATTTGGTTTCTTTTTTTTTTTGCATCGGGGATTGAACTCACAAACTCACACATACCAGGCAAGTGCTTGAACCACTGAGCTAAATCCCAGGCCCCTTTTTATTTGGTTTCCTTTATGGTTTTTTTTTTTTTTTTTCCATTGAGATTCCTCATTTGCTCATTTCATAATTAGTGTATTTTTTCCTTAATTCTTTAGACATATTTATGATAGCTACTTTGAACTCTGCCAAATGCAACTTAGTCACCTCAGAGTCTGTTATCCCATACAAAATACACTCTCCTGTTTTCCTGATTTTTTTTCAATTGAAACCCGGGCAGATAGGTAACACCTGCTAGTTATTCTGGGGTGTTTTGTTTGCCTAGAAACTAGTGTCTGAAGATTATAACTTCCTGCAGTGGTGGACAGTTAAATAGCCTGAACTGAACTGGATAAACTCTCTTGAATGATGTTCAGCAGCCACCGTTTTTATTTATTTTTGAATTTAATTTAGGGCTAGGGGTTTAGCTCAGCATTGTAAGTGCCTGCCTGGCAAGCACAAGGTTATGAGTTTAAGCTCCTGTACCAAAAATAAATCATTTATTTTTTGGTACCAGGAATCAAACCCAGGACTTCAGACTTGCTAGACAGGCACTGATCTGCTGAGCTAAATCCCTGGCTCAGCAGCTGATGACTTTGATTATTTTTTTAAGCTAGTTTTTTCAGCTTTGCTACCTTTTCAGCTTAGTTCTGTGGGAATTTCCCCTGCCCATGTAATCCTTATGGTCTCACAAGGATTTTGGCAGTTTTTTCTCAGATTTGGAAGCTCAGCTCTTCAGTGATTCCCTTGCTTCTGGTGTTCCTTCTCATCGTTTCCAGAGGCTCTGCCATTCCCAGGATCTATTTACTGATGACACCCAAGGCTAGTGTGACTCCCTGCTTTGTGCCCCCTGCTCCCTGTGTGCTGTGTGCTCAGAGATGAATTGTAAATTCCATCAGGATTAGTTCTGCTTCTTTCTGTTTTTTGGTGCTGGGGATCAAACTCATGACCTCAAGCTTGCCAGGCAGGCGCTTACGCCACTGAGCTAAATCCCGGGCCCTAGTTCTGCTTGTTAGTCTTGTCTTCAGTGAATAGGAAGGTCTCCTGGGCTTGATATGAAGAGGAGATACAAATAAAACCCAAAATGATTACTCAACAAAATATTAGTATTAAATTTCCATTTTCTTGTTGTTTGCATTTTGTTGATAGCAGTAATGAGGGCAGGTCCATAAAATAAAGTGTGATTCAATCTATGAGTTGGGCAAAAGGGGGAAAAGATCCAAATATTGGCAGTGATTTGTGAGAAGATAGACAATGAAGGAAAGTAAATGACAACAGCATAAGTTACCATAATCAGGAAGTGTTACATTTTGATTTTTGTTTGAAAAGTTGAAACTCTTCCTTGGAGTATACAGATAAAACATTTTGTATAGACACAAACTATAAAGATGAAGCCTCCGTGTTTCTTTACTTACTTGTTATAATATGAAAAGAACTGAATATTTTAAGTTCCTAGTTTAGCACTGCTGTTCTTTAAAGAGCAATAGATCACAAATCAACTATTCGATTAAGTATATTAAACTTTGATTATTTAAAATTACATAAATTCTACATTGTATGTGGAACTGGTTTGTAAACTTTAAAGCCTATGTTTTTTTTATTACAGTGATTTTTACTGTAATAAAACATACATATCATATATTAACTATTTATATGTGTAAAATTAAATGACATTAAATATATTTGCAGTGTGTATAGCAATCAACTGCTCTCTATACCCAAAACTTTTTCATCATCTACAACATAAATTCTTTTTTTTTTCTTTTAGGTACAGTCTAAACATAAATTCTGTACTCACTAAACAGGAGGTATTTAGGATGACCATTTTGGTAAAATATACCAAGATAAATTTTACTGCTGATGTCCTTCAGAAAAGCCTTAACTAAGAGTAAATTAAATCTGAGGACAATTTGAAGAGCATTTAAATTGTTAGTAATGTATATCTCATGTGAATCTTAGAAAAAACATGACCAAAATAAACATTCATGATGAAAATGATGTGTGCTCTTCTTGATGTTCCTTCCTGAGCAGAAAGTTTCCATTCTGATGCTTCTAAATACCTTTTAATAAATTTACTTTTAGGCTGGAGATTTAGCTCAGCAGCTCAAGGGCTCGCCTGGTAAGCGCAAGGTTGTGAGTTGTATCCCTGGTACCAAAAAGAAAAAAAAGATATTTACTTTTAATAGTGTATTCAGCTTCTTAACTTATGTCATGTTCTAGCTGTGCCCTTGGTGGATTTTCTTCTAATCTCCTTTGTTGTCTGTTTGCAGATAGGAGAAAGAATCCGAGTCATCTTGGATATGGAGGATAAGACTTTAGCTTTTGAACGTGGATATGAGTTCCTGGGGGTGGCCTTTCGAGGACTTCCGAAGGTCTGCTTATATCCAGCAGTTTCTGCTGTATATGGCAATACAGAGGTGACTTTGGTTTACCTTGGAAAACCTTTGGATGGATGACAGTGGCTTTCTTGGGATCACGGACAGTGGAGAAGAAATCTACTTGTGCAAAGTAGAATCATGAAGTAACAGTGTCATATGTGCATGCCCAAGAAACATCCCGAAAAACATGAAGTTGTCAACTGGAGAAGCAGCTCTACAACAGAGATCACCTTGGTGTTTCCTCTTTTCACTGGGCCAGAAAAATCCTCAGGGTTGCAGTTGGTTGAGTGGGCAGTTGGCGTGTGCGTATTGGAACAGAGTCTTGTCTCAAAACTAGCAGTGTGTTCTTTCCTGCTTTAAGGTGAGAGTTAGAGATGCTATCAGAGGGAAAAGATAAAGAAATAGCAAGCTTCCAAGGTGGTGTGCTTGTGAAGGAAGATGGATTGTGTCCACAGCTGCCTGCTCTTTCTCCAGTCCCCTTGCCGGCCAGCGTGCCCATTAGGAAAGTAAGAAACTGGTTGGGGTTTATTTAATATTGTTAATATATTGAGAAGCATGGTCTGCGTGGACTGCACTTCTCTAACAATGAGGAATAAAATTGTGCAGCTATTTTAAAAATTGTATATATAACATGTGTGTAAAAAAATGTAAAGAAAAAAGACAAAGGGGCTGCTTTGTTCTAGTTCAGTTTCTTAAAAACTACTATATGGTACAAAATTAGAATAACATTTGGGGACAGTAGGGTAGCCACAGAGAAGAAGATTTTAAGATATGTCATACTAGCTCATTTTGTATTATTTTTGACTTAAGTTCCCATAGCTCTTAGTCTTGTCATTATTGGTTTTTTTAAAAATCAAAATTATAGTAAATAATCCTTAATCTCCTGAGGGAAAGCAAATCTATTTCTAATTATATGTGTCAGTAAGGATGATCTAAACACAATAGTAGATGTGTGCATCTCTTGGTATCCAGTTTTATTTTTTGGCCCTTTGAGAAAGGTTCTTATAACAGAAAATGTCGTCACTATGAATGCTGTTAGAGAGTTCACTAGTGGTTTATTTTCTAGCTTTATAGTGCTGTACATATTATCAAAACTTTAATTTCACATTGTTTACATCACGTAAAACCCTAAGCCTCCAACTCTTCATTGGGGCAATCAAGAAAATGTTTACTCACCCATCTGATGAAACAGCGCCAGCCTGACGCAGGTTAAGAGCATCCTTAATCTCATTCTGAGTCATCGCTCCCAAGGAACTTGAGATCCAGCATCTTGTGCTGAAAACTTCAGGTGGCAATATTTTGAAAGTTTTATTGCAGAAGAGTTTAATATTACTTCCTATTTGATAAGATTTAACTCATTAATACTCTTGAATTAATCCAACACATGAGCCAAGATTTTTCTTTTGTTAAAAGAAAAATGAAACATCTTTTTGTTTGAGAGTATACATTTCAGACACGTAAGAATTGATGGGACACATAAGAATTGATGGAAGCAAGTGAGATTTTTTTGTACTTTTTAAAATACTGCCGTATGTATATTTTATTTTAAATTTATTAAAATTAGGGACAGCAAACAGCTTCTTCCTTGAGAATTAAAATTATCAGTACTCCTGTGAAGCAGGAGAGTTCAGCCATAGAACAAAGATCTGTTTTTGCTACCTGAAAGGTTTACAAGTATTTATTGTGTATATGTGGTATGTCCTTTCAAAAGGTAAAATTGTTAAAGATTTTTTTTTTTTGGAGACAGGATATCACTGTGCAGTCTAGGCTGGCCTTGAACTCATTATGTACCCCAGGCTGGACTGGAACCTGCGGTGATCCTCCTGACTCAGCCTCCCAAGCCCTGGGATTATAGGCATGCACCATTACGCCCAGCTAAAGATTCTTTTTGATAACCATGTCAAGATGAAACTCATACAGTGAATTATAAATTAAATGTATTAGAGAACATAGTTAACACAAGTTGACTTTTCTTGGGGTAAAACAACTCATTTTGACACAGTGTAAAATTTGATTGAGAAAAAGAATTGGTTTAGGGTGAAGATTAGTTAAAAAATGTTCAAGTCCTCTTAAGTGTTTGTTGCCTTTTCAGGTTGTGGTATGGCCAATTCCCAGAGCTTTTGCTAGGAGTTGTAACTTCTGTTGCGTCTTGTTAGTAAACATTCATTTGTAACCGCGTCTCGAAGGTTCTGACTGGAAAACAAAAACACATGGTTATTTGTTCTGTATTGAACCTAGGATCAGTGATTGCCTAAATATTTAACAACAAGCCATTCTTAGGTCAAAGCATTGAATTCCCTCTTTGCCCACTTGCAAGTTCTATAAAATGGATGTTCACGACATGAGCATCAGGAGTGACATGATGAGTGGATTTGTCCCTGGAGATGGAGAGTGGCTGTCTTCTCCATGTCACTAAAGCAGACTGCTCACTGTGCAAGGAGGTTCTTTTCCACTGGTGCGGGAGAGCAGTTGGGTAGAAGAGTGCACCTGGAGATCGGTGTGAGTCCCCTGCACTGTGGCTCTCACCTTCGCTGTGCTTGGGAGTCACATTGGAATGTTTTTTTATGTAGGTTTAGGTCCCATGTCCGGAGAGTCTGGTGTTGATCTGGGATATGACCTGGTCACAAAGATTTTTTTAAACAGTTCCTGATGCTTTGAGTATGCCAGCAAGGTTCAGAACCGTTGCGCTAAAATTCACCTGGAGGTTTCTCATCTGCAGAATCGAGAATTCTTGCTCCCTCCCTTCACTACCTCACAATGATATTGAGGGTAAAGGAAAGAACGGTGTTACGGAAAGCGCAGTGCTGTGGAGGAAAGGCATTTGTTGTGTTTCCGCTGCAGCCATGGTCAGGAACATCATTGGGTTTGTGTTGCCTTGGGAAACCGGGAGCGCTTCCTTTGATCCTCTAACGAAGCCTGCAGAGGGGGCAGACGTTACTGTTGTTCTTACTCATACTACGGTTTTCTGTCATATTCGGGTTAAGCCGTCACATAATCTGGGTTTACATAGGAAAGAAGAAATATTAAGACTTAAATTCTGTAATGCGCATTGGCCCTTAATTAAAACTTTTCATACAAGGAATTTTGTGGCTACTAGATCTGATTTCACATTGCCATTGTTTTTCCATCATTTGACTTTGAACGCTAAGCCATTTATTTCATCCCTTACTCAATTAAGTATGAATGCAGATTTGGTAAAGCACATGAAGCAGGTAGGTTTTTTCCCGTTCCATATTTGAAATCATGGCTCAGTGATTAGAAATCTTCTGAGTTTTAGATATAATTTCCTATGTAGTTTCATAAATAATAAAACTTTCAGTCTTATAGAAATTATAATTAAGTCTTCAGATGTTTACATAGACTCACAGTACTACAGTATTTTTAAAAATTGTTTTGGCTGGACGTGGTGGTGGTGGTGCACGCCTGTAATCCCAGCACTCTGGAGGCCGAGACAGGAGGATTGCTGTGAGTTCCAAGTCCAGCCTGGGCTGCAAAGTGAGTTCAAGGCCAGCCTGAACTGCATAGTGACACCCTGTTGAAAGAAAGAAAGAGAAAGAAGAAAGGGGTCGGGGATATAGCTTAGTGGTACAGTGCCTGCCTGGCAAGTATGAGGTCCTGAGTTTGATTCCTGGTACAAAAAAAAAAAAAAAAAACTTACGAAATAAACAGTTTGAAAGATGGATACCTAAGGAGTTTGCTAAATTAGTATTGAAAAGATTTTCCAGAAATGAAGACCACCACAACTTGGACTGTGGTATATAGAACCACTTTGAAGCGTATATTAGGAAAGAACAGTTTACACTCAACCCAAATGTTATCTCGTGAAGCATTGCTCTGTCACTAGCTGAATGTAGTCTTTCCTCTGAAATGTCCCTACGTTGTGTGTGTTTATTTGTTTATTTATACACATATTTGTTTCAGTGCAGGGCCTTGTGGATGCTCAACTACATCCCTAGTCCTTTTGTATCTTATTCTGAGACAGGATCTCTCTGAGTAGTTCATGCTGGACTCAGACTTGCTATCCTCCTGCCTCAGCCTCCTGAATAACCGGGATTACAGGTGTGTACCACCACACCCAGTCCTTAGCTTTATATTTTACCTATACTAAACTCATGCTGTATGACTTTATACCTTGTGTAAAATGATTTTTATTTATTGATTATTTATTGGTGTCTTGGCTCCCTGAAGCTGGTACAGGACCTCTGATGAACTCATCTCTGTGTTCACATGGCTAAGCTTGTTGTAGGAGCTCAGGTATTTATTGAGGAAAGGAGGAGAACTATGCAGGAAGGTGGAGACACCTCTAAAGCTACAGACTGTAGACACGTAGATAAGGGCAACTCTGTCATCCCAGCAAAGAGAAGGAGGAGCCTGAGGCTAGTGAAGAAGAAACCAGTGCTATGAATGCATTTCAGCCATTCCTCCTTACCCGTAATAATGGTAAACTGATCTTTAGTTCTTGGTGTAGATTTCCTATATGTTTAGATTCAAAATTAGAATTCTGTATTTTAATTTTTTGGAATCCTGTTGTTTTGCCTTAGTTTCCTAATAAAATGTTGTAAAATTATAACCACCTGTGATTCCTTATACTTTGAAAAGGAAATTTTATACATCAGAAAAATTGGGGTTCCTTAGCCAAAGGAGATGATAGAATTGGCTTATAAGTTCCAAGGCTTTTAGTAGTGGAATCCACATTTACAGTGTTCAGAAGGGAAGGTGGCCAGGGAGCCATCACCCTCTAGGGCCCCGTTGCCTTGTCACCTCTGCCTCAGCACTGCACCAGTTACTAACCAGGTGTTTGCCAGGAGTCACAGAGGCAGGCATTTGAGTGCCAGACTAATGAACCAGTGGCTCCTGGGATCCAAAAGCTCAAAAGAATCAGGTGATCATGTTTGCTAACAGTTGCTTCAAGCTGGGTGTGGTGATGCACACTGATAACTCCAGCACTTGGGAGGCTGAGGCAGGAGGATGGGTGAGAGTTGGAAATCTGGGCTACATAGTGAATTCAAGGCCAGCCTGAACTTCATGGTAAAACCTTATGAAATTTTGTTTAGTGGCAAGAGACCAAGGGCAGCTTTCTGAGTTGTCCTGGTTTCTTTTTTGGATCCTCCCCTAAGCAAGTGCTTAATGTATCCATTTTTACTTAATGTATCCATTGGAATATTGTTGACAGCAGCATATTGTCTAAGCTTAAGAATACAATTTGTGGAGATTTGTTAGGGTTTTACTAGAGAGAAAGATATGACACGAAATACACAGATGTAAAAGAAACAAGATTGGCTTGCCATGACAGAGTTGGATGAGGAAGCGTGCAGAGGATGTCCACACACTGGAGGCCGAAGGATTCAATCCAGGATCTGGAGTTCACCCTATTGTCTTGTGCAAGTCCACACCAGCAGGCTAATGGGTCTGCAACAGAAGGCTGAAGGCTCTACGATGGAAAGGCTGAAGAGTCTACACTGGAAACCAGGAGACAAGGTCCAAACCAAAGGTGAAGACTGGAGCTTCTCCCAAGAATGGAATGCATTGGTCCTTTCTCCTTCCCTTTTATATCTCCAGGTGCTGAGCCACCATAGGGTGGGTCTTCTTTATACCCTTGGGTGTAGAGGTGCTAAACCCATTTAGTTAAGATTCTAAATGTCTCCAGTTGACACAATCAACCAACCACTACAGGAGATAACTGGTCCCTCCGGATTTAAGATGGTCCTTCAAGTTTTGTATATAGGCTTTCATGGTAAGTGAGTGACTCAAGAAGTAAGACTCAGTTTTGGAGCCTTCTTAAGTCACGCTGTTGACCATATTTAACTTCCAAATTTTTTTAAAAAGAGGAGGGCCAGAGGTATAGCTCAGTGGCACAAGTGCCTGCATGGCAGGTGCAAGGTTGTGAGTTCAATTCCCAGTACCAATAAAAAGAGGAAAGTGCTATTTATGGCATGACTGAGACATACTGTATTTCTTTTTTCTTTTTGTTTTTCTTTTGAAATACTGTATTTCTGCTCCCTCTATATAGTAAAGGAGGGTATGAAATAGAAATAATGGGAATGGTGCCGAGTTCCTGTCTCCCTTGAGAAAGTCTCCCCAAAATGATTTATTCAGCCATTAATGTCCCACACTGGATTAATTAAGGCATGTTATAAGAGGAGAGCCCATATGTTTATTTTAATGTAACAACTCTCTTTCCTGGTGTTTAAAGGGTATTGTTTCATCTGTGCCTCTTTGTGACCCTTGACCTTTGAAGAAAAGGCATACTTTGAGTGTTGTTCATGACATCTCTCCCCTTCAATAGTGCAAAGGGTGACACTGCTTCTGATCAAACTTCCCAGGGTAGTAGCAGGCGTGGACAGTGGCCCACTTGCTGGAAAGCATAGTGGCATCAAAGAATGACTCATGCTAAGTTTTTGGAAGCAGTCGAATGGATATTTGTGCACACACATACACACAATTTCTGTTGCTAGAGATTAAAGCAGAGTGCTTTGCATTGAGCTACATTCCAGGGCTTTAAAAAAAAATTTTTTTTTTCCTTTTAGAGAGTCTCCCTAAATTATTAAGTTGCCCAGGTAGGGTGTGAGCTCCCAGTCTTTATTCCTCAACTTCTCAGAATGCTGGGATTACAGGTGTGCCTCACCATGGCCAGCTTGCACTCACCTTTTACACACACAGTAAATCACAGCTTCTCAGATTGCAAAAGGATGAAAAGAGCAGAAAAGAGAATTTGTTAAATATTTTCCAGCACCCATGATGTACCAGGCGCTTGCCAAGTGTTAGGGATGTATAGAAGATTTCAATACAAACAAAAAGTAAATAGAAAGCGAAAGCTATGGAACCAATCTGTTATGAACCTCTCACAAGCTAGTGTGAAAGCAGATGTGGACCGAGAGCACCATGGGCAGTGGAACGAATCCTTCAGTGGAATCAGGACCCAGTGGGGCCTAGGAGGGTTGGGACTGACTTAGCCTGGGGCAATGTCTAAGGGGGCCTGGAGCTTAGAGGAGGAGTCCACCCCCTGGGAGCGGGGGCAGTAAACCCACTATTGGAAGAGGATGGACTCGCAGGTGCTGTGACACAGGGGCATAAGGAGGTCCAGTGGTGGGACCGGGCACAGATGTGGAAACTGAGGCTGGATCAAAACTACCCCATTAAGGAGCTGGGGTTGACTCGCTGTGGGAAGTTGGACATTTCACCCAACACAGTGGAAGATCTGAACATAGAATTCCTTTGCCACCCCTTCCCAAAACACTGCGCTTTGCCTCCTTGCCAAATTCTCCTTCAGGCTGGGAGCCTCCACCCACTTCAGTTGCCCCCAAAACAGGTCAAGTTAAGCCTTCCAGGAAAGGAGCCCAGTGACAAGTGTGGCCATGACATGCACATGAGAGCAACATACTAACAGCACAATTGCTTGTTTTTAATGCAGAAAATGTGCAGCCAGTGAGCAGCTTGTGAAAGATTCAGGATCAGATCTCTGAGGAGCTGGCTTTGTCTCCTTCCCCTTCCCTTTCCCCTCGCCTCCCCCTCTCCCATCCCTCTTCAGCACTGGGAACAGAACTCAGGGCCTTGTGCAAGCCTGGCAGGCGCTCTACCACTGAGATCTACCCCAGTCCCTTAGCCTCTCTTGAAGAAGAGAACAGGAGCACGAGACAAGATGTATTGCTCCATCCAAAGATCCAAGCTGTTTGTCCTCGTTCTGGACTTAGTACAAACTCCTGCTAAGAGGCAGGTCCTGACTCCCTGGAAGATGCCAGGTCCTCCCTCCCTGGCTGGTCTCCTGTGGCCCCGCCTCACCACAGGGCTGCCCTGAAATGCAATGGTTGGGTGATGTGGTAATTTCACATTTAATTTTTTGAAAATTTGCCATACTGTTTTCCAAAGTTGCTGCACAATCTTGCACTTGAGCAGTGCAGAGGGATTCTGATTTCTCCATATCCTTGTTAACACTTGCTTTTTTCCTGTTTTAATAGTAGCCATCCTAATGGTGTGAGATGAGAGGTTATTAATATCTTTATTTGCTAAATGTAGCAACCCTAACACAGCCGGAGACCTCTTTGCTGATTCTACCTGGCTGCAGCCTGTCTGTGCTTGTGGCTCTAGGCTTTGCTGTGTGGCTCCTGGTTGTGGGCTCCCAGTCCTCACCTGGCCACTCCTCTGGTCTCCCACGGCACAGCCTGCAACTGGGTTTTCATCATTCTTTCCTATATGGCTTCCTCCGCAAGCACCTCCCAGGCCCTCAGCAGGCTGGCAGCTCAAGGCTGAGCCTGAAGATAAAAACTGGCACAACTTGGTCTTAAGGAAGTCAAGAAGCAAAAACCCTGAAGCAGCATTTGTGGCCTGAGCCCCCGGGAAGGGCTTGGCTGCCCTGGCTTTGCAGACAGAAGGAGGAGCAGGTGCTTTTGGCTGTTCAATCCTCTCCTCAGCCAGGCTGCCAAGGGCCTCCTTCCCCTTTTGCCATTCCAGATACTTGCCAAGGACACACCACAAGCAGCACACTGTCAGGCATCAAAGACACAGAACTTTGTCCCCAAGCGTCCCACGGTCCATCGAGGATGTCCAGGCTGTTTAAGTGGCCCTAACTATGATAGAACATGAGAATGCTGTGAACATGGTAGCACACATCTATGATCCCAGCACTCTGGGAGGCTGAGGCAGGAGGATTACAAGTCAGCAAGACCCTGTCTCAAAAAATAAAGAGCTAGAAGCCAGACATGGTGGTGCATGCTTGTAATTCCAGCATTTGAGAGGCTGAGGCAGGAGGGTGGCTGACGGTTTGAGGCCAACCTGGGCTACATAGTGAGTTCAAAGCCAGCCTGGACTACACAGAGAGATCCTGTCTCAAAAAACAAAAAAATAAACACTCCATCAATTAAAAAAAAAAAAAAGCTGGGGACATAGCACAGTGCAAAGCCCCTGGGTTCAATCTCCAGTACTAAAACGAAAACAATTTTTTTCGATAGTAGGGATTGAACTCACAACCTTGCATTTGCCAGGAAGCCGCTTGTGTTGCTGAGCTAAATCCCTGGCCCTGGAAAGAAAATTTAAACATGTATCAACCTGCCCAATAAATTCATCAACACAAACTTAGTAGTAGCAATTTACTGTTTTTTGCTCATTGAAACTTCCTTTTAATGATCTGCAGGATTTAGAGTAATTTGTTTTTCCAAATATTGTTCATGATTCATTTGTCTAATTTCAGGTGCTGTTCATGTCCCAAAGGGTTTGCAGCTAATTTAAACCTGTTTTGCTGCCTGCTTGGGATCCATCTCTCCCTAGCTGAGTTCCTAGCAGTGTCTGTCTGTCTGCATGGAGATCCTCGTGGCATTCTCCTGTTGCAATGAGTCAGTGGTTTTTTTTTTTAAAAATTGTGACATCTTTTAAGTGAGCACTAGAGTAAAGACAGTAACACCATTGCCCACCATTCAGCTTTGATCACCTTAGATTCACCTCAGTGTCTTGGCATATCTACATCAGATAATTTTTTCTCAGAAGCAAAACACTGCGGAGAGAGTTGAAGTCATCTGTACGTTCTGGCCTGTAAATTGCCCCCTTTCCCTTCCTCTCTCTAGAACTTGTTACCATGTT